TTTAGTATATAGATCACCAGATCTTTTATGAATATATATATTTCCAAAAAAAAAGCTAATTTTCATCATATTGACTGAAAGTTGCGTTAATTTCAGGAACTACTCGTGCGAATTGAAAAGTTATTCTATGTTGTTATTGTGTCCTTGCTGCGGCAAAGAGAAATGTGGAGAAAATTATTCATCTGGGGGCTTCAAAAAAAATATATTCGATACATATTGTAAAATAAATTTATATCCCCGTGACAACGGCTGCTGCAAAGCATCCGAAACGTCGGGCCGAAGTTAAAAATCATTTTCAAATAAGTTTATCGCGTTTTAAAACGTTAAAGTGTTTTATTTAAATGTATATAATGACTTCTCTTTTAACTATCTAAAATACTCAGTACAAATACTCATCTATTTTTTAAGATTAATTTAAAAGAACGACGTGACGCGACCTACGTCATGGATAACAGCTATAATTTATAAAGATTTGGAGGAGGTTTGAAAAACAAATTATAATTACCAAAATAGCTATTCTACGCGGACGATGTCGCTGCCACAGCTAGTCGTAGAATAACGGGCTCGGTGGTATAAAGGTCGTGGGCCGATCCCCACCAAACCCAACATGTCTCTAAATTTTCATTTTTTTTATTTCTCTAAAACTGGAAGTCTGGATATTAAATGGATAGGCATATAGAAAGTTCCACCCGGGTCGCGAACCGACGTCTACAGATGAAAAAGCCGTGAAGTATAATCACGTTACAGTTTCAGTCTGTTGATTGCCGAATATCTAAAGCCAAAATAGGTCGGTAGCGCATTTTATTTAGGCTGGGGTATTACCACCAACAAGCGAACCTCATGCTTGCCTATGCTCCTGTATCATAAAAAATGTAGATATTTTAGTAATACGGATTTGATGGCATCTCAAAACAACGGAGAGTCTTTGATGTTATCCATTTGGACACTTCGAAAACATTTATTTTACTGCAGTAAACTTTAGTCCGAGCTTTGTTTACCATATTGATTGATTTATTACAGACTTTTAAAAATGCTAGTGTTACGTAGATAATGTCTGAAACAAATTGCAGTATCTTTTTTGAGTAAGGATGTTTATGTTAACGCTTGAATATATATAATTCACATGATAACTTATAGAAGATTAAAAATTACTAAAAACTTATGTGACCGGCGCAACGGCACGGTACGTTGATCAAAAGTTCGAATCAACGCATCTACACTCCTGTTACTTAAATAATGTATGTAGTTTACGCGAGTAGTACACATAAAAAAACAATTTACGGTTTCAAACGTGATATTTATTAGTTAAACTTATATCAAAATTATTTTAATTACGGCCCGACGTTTGGCAGCATCCGATCTATATATGTATCGAGCTTTAATATGTTAATTTGTTTTATTTAACCGCTGTTGCTGTAAAAATTGATACGGTGGATAAATTTAAAAAAATGTTTATTTCTCGCATCATTAAATCAAAAATATTTAATAAACCCAATGAAATATATTTACAAAGGGATTGAAAAGCATTATGTATACACTTTTAACAATTTGATGTATAAACAAACAGAAATAATAAGAGCAATTGAGTTACCGAGTCAATTACTCGGTAGCTCAATTGGTAGAGCAACAGCACTGAACGCTGACGATGCCGGTTCGAGTCCTGCCCGAGTCGAACATTTTTTCAATTTATTTTCGATTTTTAAATTATATAGTGCCTTCATGTGCAATAACATGTAAAAAATAATAATTCGTTATTTTAAATATCTAATGTATGTAAATTAGAACAATTTTAGCCACACGTGTATCTAATCTTATTATTTATATTCTCTTAAATATATTTTTCTAGATTATTAAGGAAAATATAACATCATACTTAATAGCTCTAGTTTCTACATAGTTATTCCTTGTTTTCGTTAAACTAATTACGTCTAGGCTGTTTTGCTATAGTTTATCGAGTGTGATGAATCTAGTTAAGTTAGTAAATAACTTGGACATTATAGACATAGATTGATGACACTAGACTGAAGTAATATTCTTGGACATAGAAGATATCTTTCTATTCGTTGGTGATTTTATACGGTTTATACAATTTTTAATTCTAAGTGTAAACCGTGCACTAACCCACGTAATACTTGCTGTGTTTTAGATGCATAACGCTAAATAGAGCGGTAGGTGTATTACGGCATGTCCACATGCTGTACATAAAAATCTATATTGTTTGATTAAGAATTTCTAAACTTTTTTTACCAACGCCACATAATAGGACAAGATAGCACAATTACAACAAAACGATTATTAGTTATTTTCCCCAAAAAGCAGAGCAAAGTATATGGAAATATATGACCGCATAAAAACATCACAAATATCGATTAAGTTCCGATATCTTTCTCGTTCCAAACGGTTAAAAAGAGATGTAACAACAAATCGCCTAATCAACCTCGATTCAGGTTATGGCAAGTCAATGAAACAAGTTACAAGCAATCTAGTTTACAATGAAAATTGCAATCAACATATAATTATGTATTCATAAACTTTTAAAGCATATATTCTGTGTTAAGTCAAGAATAGTTTGCCGCAGCTACAGTGGCCGTTGAACTGCGGAACTCCACACAATTTCCTAAGTCGGTTCTATCCATCTGTCGGCAAGTGAGGTGCAAGTTATATTAAGTTCACAACTCGCCCTCTATTACTTTGGGTATTCATTGACTTACAGTTGTATTATACTGCCTTAAAAGCTAACAATTGTTCAAACAAGACTCTAGACGGTAAACACACTTAGATTCTAAACGTAACCCTTTTGCCTAAATACAATAAATCTATTTGACAAATTACGTATACAATAAGTTATATTCATTTATATTGTCTAACAAGCTCAATTCAATGAAATTATTATAATAAAACTTATAGTAACATAGTAGATTTTAAATAAATAATAACTCAGATAATCGGTATAAATTAGAAAATTGATTTATACAAAGTCCATCAGTTATAAACTTACCAAAGCAGACTTTCAAAGAAATCAAGTACTTAAATTGTCGCTATCACTCGGGAAAAAACAAACTCATCGCAGGAAAAGTTTTTTCTGGCTGTTCCAATCAACCCGAAATCACTCAACAATCACTTCTGTCAATGACAGCAAAAAAGTAATTCTATTTACAAATCATAAACCACAGCGTGAAGCTTTGTTATTGTAAATTAAAGAGATTACACGCTACGACTTCGTAGCACCCGATTCGAAGTTCTACGAGGCGTAGTGACACATCGACTCGCAGTGAGCGACTGGCGTGGAAAATCGTGTGAAAATTGAAGACACGAAAACGGGCACAGAGGCTATCACCGTCAGCGGTTTGTTGATTATCGTGGAAAGCATTTGTGTCGCAAGAAAGCGAAATACTAATAATGTATTTGTGTTATCGCAACCAAAATGTCACTTAATAGTTAATGAACCGGAAACATAATATATAGTTTCGGTACGAAAGGGCACAGTAGTCTGAACTACTGTACATCGAGTAATAAAACGTACACAGTAATGCATCCCTCATATTATGTTCATATATATTTAAAATACGTTTGTTAAATTACGGTACAGAACTACTAAACAACATAAGATACGATTTTGTTTGAGCATTTAAAAATAATATACAATTCTATAGAAGTCATAAGTATTAAACGTGCTGATTGAGATTTTGTCACGGATTTACAGTACTGAGTTTCCTAAACACTTCATCCGCTTCTTATGACGAAAAATAGTACATAAAGCTATTCTATGCTATCTCTGTGCCGTCGCCGACTCGCCGTGGCCCCTCGAGTCCATAATCTATACCTTGTACATATAATAGGATGATGTTAGGTATACCATTGTAAACATAACCGCACTCGACACATTGCTATCACGCGATCAACTGATATTTGTTTAAAGGAAAAGTTTTCTTGTGTACTAATACTTACAAGTTATTAATTTTCGTAATATTATTCGCTTGTATTAAATGGTTTAAGATAGTATGCTTGTTTGTTAATATGCACTCAAATTTACGCCTGCAAAGTTTATTGGATGTTTCTAAGGTATGTTTTTGCGAGTGTGACTTGTCGAGTAAATATTTTGGTTTTGTCACGTGTGGCATTGGCGCTATACCGTAGAAGTGTCTGAGTCGATTTCATGGTATCTGCGGCATATATATGATTAATAATAAGAAATCATTTAATTTCATTGACAAATTTTAAAAATAGATTATGAAATTAATAATTAATAAACACAAAGTTTTGCCCCAAGTCCAAACGCCTCTCTATATTATAAGTCTTCTTAACAATTTTCTATAAAGGTAACGTATGGATTGACGACATGTCAATTGGGCCATAATATATTTAAAATATTGTAAAGTTCATTATTCATATAATGATATTTACAATTGAGTAAGCTAGTCACACAATTTGCCGCAAGATGTGTGCTCATTCAAAGTACTCTTTGTTTGAATTGTAATAACTTTTAATATTAACGATTCGGTGTTTTGGTCAAGATAGGACGCAATTTCGCACGAACTTCTTCAATAGTCATTATAAGAGTACTATCATTAGTGTAAAATACAATACTCATTTATAATTAATTTATGGTTCACTTATAGTACATACACAAACATGAAACTGGCGATTACAAACCGGTAGTGAGTGGTGCCGCGAGCTTAATATTTTTCAAGCATTACAAAAGTACACAACGTGATTAAAAAAGACTTAACTTTAAAAGGTAAAGAATAATGCATTAATTATACAAAATAGGAATAATGAAATAACGTTTTATTATTTCTGTTTTTAATTAGGAAGTGGCTCAAAGATCTCGTATTCTGGCCATTCATTTGGACAATTACCTCGTGTCAACTGTCATTAATGTGTTAAGCGCGTGCAAGCGTCAATCTTGTCATATCTCGCATGTGATGTGATATGAATTATAACTTGAGTTTCCTCAAAATCTAAAATTATTTTATATCAGTGTCTATAATTTTTAAGAAATGGCTGACTTAAACGTTGAGGAAACCGGGCAAGTTCTGGAGAACGAGGAAGAAGAGGAACTTGATGGCGTAGAGGACACCGACGTGAAAGATGTGGATCCCGCTAAAAAAAAGAAAAAGAAAAAAAAGAAGAAGAAGGCAGGTTAGGTTATAACATTACAGACAATATTTTACATTAGGTGGGTCTTCATTAATTACTATACGAGGTTGGCTTACACGAGGCTACAGCGCGCAGATAGCTAACTTACAATGTGGATAAAGTTGTATTAAACTCTGAATCCAAACATTTTTCTCTCAAGATCAAAAGAATTAGTGTACTTGGCACTCATTTGAAATACTCTTTTATTTACTACCTTATATTTTAATGTTGTGCTTTTTCAGCTGCTATCGAGGGAACTGTTGAAGGTGAACTTACCACCGAAGCGTCAGATAAGCCGGCGCCAGAGTCTGTGACAGTAAATAACACTGGAGATGGAGAAGAGAAAAAAAAGAAAAAGAAAAGCAAGAACAAAAGCAAAGGAGCCACAAAATCACAAACAGATCCACCAACAATACCAATTAGCGAGTTATACCCTGATGGTATGAATTTATTTATCACTCATTGCTACCATATATTGATAATAATTCATATAAAAAACAATTCAGTAATAACTTGAAGGATTAAAGATCTAAATAATTAAAATTGCTTATTATCAAGCCACTGTTGGCTTAAATATTGTCTAAATCACCAATTGCACACAATGCTTCTAGCCATTTATGAGCTAGACAGGGTTATCGACACTTATGTTTACTGCCTGGCTTAATAAAATCTATCAAGTCATGTCTTATTGTGATGTCAGTATTGAATTAATTTTATGCACTCAAAATGCAATATTTTATAAACTTTGTAACAGCTAAATATTTTCACTTGTATCTTGTTTATTAATTTAATTACATTCTAGTATCCCTCTTTCACATTTATGCTATGCTCAGTATCTATTTTTCATTAAATAAGGCAACTTTCCTGAGGGCCAGATAATGGAGCATGGTCCTGCAGAGGGAATTGATGAAAGAACTGCTAAAGACAGATTTTCTAGTGAGGAAAAGAGAGCACTAGATAGGATGCATCAAGATATTTATCAAGAAATAAGACATGCTGCAGAAGCACATAGACAGGTAGACACATAGACCTACCATTGTTATTTAAAGATATTTTTCAATTATATAGATTGCATCATGACCTTCTTTATTATTGAGTAGACACATTTGTCTGATAGATTGACGCTTCCTGATAAAATTTTTAGTTATATAAATGAAGGGTTATACCCTTGGTATCACCAACACTGTAGTAATCAAATGTAATAATTTCTAGACCCGAAAGCACATGCGCGACTGGATAAAACCTGGCATGACAATGATAGAGATATGTGAAGAACTAGAATCAACGGCACGTCGTTTGATTGGTGAAGATGGATTAAAAGCGGGGCTGGCTTTCCCTACCGGTTGCAGCAGGAATCATTGTGCTGCACATTACACACCAAATACTGGTAAAAAATCTGTTCAAATTATTCAGTTGAATATGAGTATATATGAATATCTCAAAACAATTCTTAAACTTATAAGTTAAGAGCTGTGCCAGCGACTTCGTTCGCGTAGAATAGTTATTTCGGGCATTCAAATTTGATTTTACCCATGACGTCGGTCGCGTCCCTTTATACAGAGCTGAGAACTTTTTTTTTAAAGAGGAATCATTCTTTCATACATATCTTTTGGGTATCTTGAACCGTTGTTGCACCATACGCCTCGGAAACCCATAATAAAGAATAACATTCCCAATTTTTTTCACGTTTCTTGCTGTATCTTCGCTTGTATCAGTCACAGGCAGATGTTTTTTAGCCTATTGCCTATTCCCCGCGATAAATGCTCTAACCAATACAAAATTCAAATTTTTCAATTCGAACCCGTAGTTCTTGAGATTAGCGCGATCAAACAAACAAACTCTTCTTATGCTTTATATATTAATTAGTATAACTTATGTATTATACAACCTCACAGAGCCAATATCACCCTAAGCTTGATCTAAGGATAATATTCATTATCTGTGAACATACATATATTCTACTTATGTACTTGTAGTCACAGATTGTGTGTGCAACGTACCTAATGTTGATAAACTTAAGAGCATTAATAAAGAATTAATCTTAATAAATATGTACTTCCAACAGTCTCTTTGAATTTCCATGTTTTCTAGGTGATACTACTGTACTTGAGTATGATGATGTCGTAAAGATAGATTTTGGTACACACATAAACGGACGCATCATAGATTGCGCATTTACGCTGCATTTCAATCCACGCTATGATCCGCTGGTGAAGGGAGTTCAAGAAGCAACCGAGGCTGGTATTAAAGCTTCCGGAGTGGATGTGAGGCTGTGTGACGTTGGTGCTGCTGTTCAAGAGGTGAACACTACTTCTATTAAAAACAAAGCTTTGAGCTTCTTTATTATATGTAAATATAGTAAACATTGTTTATTTGGGATCTTAAGGGACCAAGACATATTACCAATTATTGAGGGTTTCCAATTATCCAGTTTTCTAATTAAGCAAGTTTAAAATTATACCTGTCTCGTTTACACAGGCCAAAGTGTTTATTTGTAAAGAAACATGTCATAATGTGAAACCTGATTAATTTGTCTCACTTATACAGACAATTGAGCTACAGAGAGTCAATTATAGAGGTAAACATAGAAAAAGGTTTAGGTGGATCCTATCTTCTCTCCAAAACCTCTACAAGGAGGAAATGGGGAAATGGGTGGAATGGTCAGCTGATAACTAACGTGGACTGATCACCCGTCCTACCACAGGTGTCCCCGAAAGAAAAGAATAATAATAATAATCTCTCCAATCTAATCTTATTTAACCAGTTCAAAAAGTTCTATTAACAGTATATAATATACATCACTGTATATTCTTGAATCAAATATTCACAAATTCTTTTAGGATGCAATAAAATGTCTACTTTTATTATATTACATGCCTGTAACTAAAAGTTGCCATAAGGAAAGATGTGACAAGTGACAGCATTGCAAACTCTTTTACATAACATTTATTTTGCAGGTCATGGAATCACATGAAGTTGAGTTAGATGGACAAGTGTATCAGGTGAAACCAATCCGCAATTTGAATGGTCACTCTATTGGACCCTATCGTAAGTTACATTAAATAATGTCTTAAAAAAATATGCTGCAGATATATTTCTATATAAATTTATTGCTATGTTTAATTTTAAACTGAAATCTTGTTTAAAAAGTACAGGGGTGCTTGTGAAATATAAATTATACTGTTTATAAAACTAAATATGTTTCTAGCCCTTAAGGGTTCTACTTATCAAACAACTCCACTAGTTAAAAACTAACTTGTGTTGAAACTGAGTCACTATATTTTAGTAATGTATAATACACATTTTACATTATATACTATAAGAAGACGGACACTATGACATAAATTTTGTTATATATTTACTTAAAAATTATCACTGGTCAGCTAAATAAGTGCGTGTAATGTAATGTGTGTGTGTGTAACTTAGTGTTAAATGAAAGATCTTTTTCAATAGGCATCCATGCTGGCAAAACGGTGCCCATTGTGAAGGGTGGTGAAACGACACGAATGGAAGAGAATGAGTTCTACGCGATAGAGACATTCGGTTCGACAGGTCGTGGACAGGTCCACGACGACATGGACTGCTCTCATTACATGAAGAACTTTGAACAACAATATATACCTTTACGGTAAGTTTATTCCTTAAGAGAGAAACAAGATAAGATATGGTGAAGTAACAGTTTCTACTGTAACAGGAAGACTCTTTCGATCTTTCAAACCAATATTGTGCTTTTATTTTGTTGAAGTCAGAAATTTTGCACATGTATAATACTTATCTACCGTATAAGATTGCCGATAAAAAAAATCGAACAACCTTTGCATATTGTACTTAGCCTTTTTTCTGCAAAGATAGGTTTAAATCGACACTATGCTTATCATACATTGTATCATCATATCTCTACTTTATATTTTAAGTAGAAAAGGGGGAGATTTATTACCTATAACTAGAGACCTTCCTGGATTGTCCAAGAGATTAGACAATAATCTTTCGATCTTTCATAATACAAGTATTTCTAATTCATCCTTGAACTCAATTTTGTACATGTAAATAATTGTATTACATACCTTCAAAATCATGACACGAACGATGACATAAAAATTGAAAAGATTTCTATCGCTGCCATTGATATATTTCTTACTCGAGATGGTACCCCTACCTGTAAGATACATTTTAATTCGCAGGTTACAATCGTCGAAACAGTTGCTACACACGATCAACAAGAACTTCAGCACATTGGCGTTCTGTAAACGGTGGCTGGAACGAGCTGGGGCGACTCGTTACGCGATGGCTTTGAAAGACCTCTGCGATAAGGGTGTTGTTGACGCTTATCCGCCGCTCTGCGATATCAAGGGATGTTACACGGCCCAATTTGAACACACCATCCTCTTAAGACCCACGTGTAAGGAAGTGGTGTCGCGCGGTGACGATTACTAAACGAAATAATGGCTTTCACATTTGCCAAACTTAAGGTCCACTGTTTGGTTAATCTTCTAACAGGAATACAACTAGATGAGTTCACAATATTAAACTGTGTGTAAACTGGACAATACCAATGTACAAGCTGTGGCAGCGACTTCGTCCTCGTATAATAGTTATTTTATAGTCGCGTCGCGTCGTTCTTGCAAGCTAGAAACATTTTTTAGATCAATTAAAGAGAAATCATTCTTTCATACATATTTTTAGTTTTTAGAATCTTGAACCGTTTTCGAAGCGTAAGCAACGGAAACTCACAAGGATGAATAATTTTCTACATTTTCCGATGTTTCTTCGCTCCTATTTGTCGCAGCGAATGTTTGATAACCTTCCTCAATAAATTCTCTAACCAACACAAAAATAATTTTTCAAATCGAACCAGTAGTTTCTGAGATTAGCGCGTTTAAACAAACAAACTCTTTAGCTTTATACATTAGTATAAATTTGTGTTAAAGCATAATTAAAGATGTCAACTGTTATGTATCTTTCAGTGTGCGAGCCCGCATCTAGTTGTATTGTTGGTTGAAGACATCTACTACTAAGCTATCTAAAGATAGTCTGTTGCTATTGTCAGATCGGAAAATTTATTTTGGAATCCCTGCGTTTAATATATGTTGTTATTAATAGAGACATGGATCTTGGTCTGTAATGTGTTACTGCCTGTCACATGGTAGGTGACATGGTCCTCGGAAGCCACATTTGGCTGTAAGCAGTAGTCGATCAAAAATCATAAAAACCTCTGCTACTAGAGAAAAGGCAAACGCTGGTACATGAATAAGTCAAAACAATAGCTTACGTTCACCAGCCACTCAAACTCCAAGATCCATGTCCCCTATTGATTTAATATCCTGGTCTTAAGCTCCATGGTGTTTCTGTATCAAATTACTTTTAGGAACTTAAAAGTATTGTTGTGTGCTTTTGGTGCTTGAATCGACTTGAATTTATCGCTTTTGCTTTCTGTTATTTGTTAAGTCTAACTTTTTCGGGGAATGTTTTGATACTACTTGCTAAGTATCTTGTGGTTTACGGAGAATCGAATAAGTTTCTAACATAATGCACCCCAGCGACCAATATTGCTATTGATATTATATAACATCAAAATGGCTGATTATTATTGCTTACACGATTCGCCTTTTAGTATGAAATCATTAGCACTTCCTCTAGCAGGATTGAAGCCCCAACTGTTTCAGCCCATGCCTCAATTCAACTTATGAAATACTAATGTGAAAATTATTTTGTACTAAGCCTTTTGAAAAAACTGTTTTTACTTAAGTAAGGACAGGTCAGAAGTGCCTCTACTAAAATTCTTTATACAAGTAACGTTTTAATAGAAGCTTTGTATACCTGAGACTAGCCAACTACAACCTTTTGTGTCATACCAAAATTTTTCAGCAGTAAAAAAAAGTATATTTTTTTATTATCTAGGTTGTTAAAAACATTAAAAATGTTTATACATACAAATTTAGACTTTGGTATCGAGTGTCACTTGTACCACACAACTCATATTGTAATGGTGTATCAATTCATAGTTTTCTAAGAGTATTTGACCATTGTCGATACTAACAATAAATAAACTTGTGTATAATTGGTGTTTTTATTATAAAATGAAACACAGATTTCATTCGACGTATAATTTTATTCACTTTTAGAAAGCATTACCTAAATCTCTAATCATCTCAATGTACACGATTATATGTAAAATTGTTAAAAAGTCTTCTGCCAATAACATTGATTAATAGTAGAAATGTAAAAAATGTTTTCTAAGGCGCGAATTTATACTTGTTCTAGCGATTTTGACTATTCAAAAACTCTTCGGTGTGTCCTTACGAGACTTACGTTAACATTATCGTCATGACTCTTGATACATCGTTACACTATCATTAATAACAATAACAACTATAGCTATTCGGAATTTCAAAAAAATCGCACCAATAACGCGACGTCGTAAATCCAACTTACCCATTAGCTAATAACTATGACCGAATTATCGGGAAAATTAAAAATAATATTTTCAGAGTTAAATATAAATTCAATGACTCGGGTGAAGTGACAATACTGAATGCGCTACTCAATATTTATCGGAAGCAATAACTTATGAATTATACAATAGCAGGTTTATTTAAAAATTTGAACCAACACAATTATTGACTAGACTTTATTATTAGCAAATAATATTAAGGATTACATCTAAGTATACCTAATATTAGGCGTACCTTTAAGTTTATTCTCCTTTAGACCATATTTTAAAGGAGATTGTTTTGAATAATTTTTCACCAGGCTCCCAAGTCTGTTAATCACAATTGTATGTTCCTGAAACGTTTTGTGTTGCAACACTGGCTTTACATGTACTTTACAAAATTGGCGTATCACTGATTAGAACTAACACACTTGAGACCCGTTTGTACTGAAGTATCAGGGTAACAATTACCATTGAAGGTATTTAGTTTCCCAAACTTGGTATTAAAATCAAACCAATACCCCCCACTCTAACGTGACTTACAGTAATTATAAGCACTGTTACGACTACATATTTACCAACTAATATCGCTTATACCAAATTGGTAAAATATCACAGAAATTAAATGTCGCTAGCTAAAATGACGCGGACTTACCTGAAAACTACCTTGTTTGTATTGCCACAGTGCGATTTTACTTTTGTACCTATAATTTCGTTTCGTTACGAAAAAAAACTACATAACAGTTAGTAGATGAAAAAAGTTACGGGGATAAGAACGAAAGCTTTAACTCATAACGATTAAATCTTTGACGGATTTGTAAAAATACATCGCCTGCAGTAATTAGTGGGTACACCTTAAACATTTTCAAAATCCAGTTGGTCAAAATATTTACCTACCTAGCATTTGAGTAATATAACCCCGGGTTTGTACATTATTTACAATCAAATACAAATGAACCCGGAGGTCAGGTCTGAAATAATAAACGATATTTTCAAAAAACGGGAAACGTCAAATTTATATATGCGTAAAGTAATAATACTTTGTCATAATTTAACACTGGAGTTGTTCTCCATCACCATTAGTCGCCATTTCTGTTTGAGGCCATTTGTAAATCGTTTGCAGCGGCACGTGAAGCAACTCAATGACGTGTCGGTAGTTCGGTTCTAGAAAATAATGCACTTTTAATGGCATAACACCTAGCAAGGATGGATTCAGCTTTGGTGCCTGGAGACGGTCACGTAGTCGTGGTCAAGTCCAGAACTTTTAATTTAATTTTGATAACAATAGATACAAGTAAAAATTGGGTATTTTAAAAATGTGTTAAATGAATGGCTCCCTGAGGCCTGGTACTAGCTCTGGGCTCATGACCCGCACCCTGGATCCACCATTGATATCTAGAGTAAGTAAAATCCCAATATTTAAAAGACCTTTTGAACTTGATGATAACTTGATTTTGAACGATGTAGATTATAACATAATTAAGTGCATATAAAAGGAAATTTGATAAACAATCAATATACACTACCCTATTAAGATTAGATTATAAATTAGACGAAAGTAAACTAATTGCTTGTAGACAATAAGGTTTATCACGTCGATTACTACAATTCGTGGCCCATATAACTATACATAATTGATTGGACATTGACCTATCGTTTTTTATTAGCATTAGTTTGTGATAACATTTTATATACATTGAAAAATAACAACAGTTTTATTAATTCAATTTAACTATTATTTAATGTATACTCTTTATTTTATATGTATTAGGACCAACTCAATCATCAAGGGGCCTATTGATATAGGTATATTAAATATAGACACATCAATTATAATTTCTTAGTAAAATTGGAAAATGCATTGAAATTTACGCTCTTTATCAGAAAACAATGGGCTATTTATAAACGCAAAAAATAGCTTGTCAATTACTGTAATCAGTATGTATCATGAGTATAATGAAAAATAATAATTGATGTGATTAAAAATTAACTACTACTAAATAATTAAATAAGCGCGTAATATAAATAGTAAATTAACATCCATCAAATAATATAAAATAAAGTTTAGTATAAAAAATAAAGATCACTTATCACTTACCATTTTCAGGATTAATGTAACCCCTTCTAATGAGGAAGTCTAATAGCACTGGGGCACTGGTGGTCTTGAATTGTGGAGTAAGTGCTCTTTGTACACACTCTTCAGCTGTAAGTAACTCAAACGTTTCCACCTCTCCATCAGCATTCTCCGGCTTGAATTCTAATGGCAACTCCAGGTCGTATACATATTCAGTGTTTGGGAAGAGACCTCTTTCACTTTCAAAATAAAAACTGAAAATAGATGGAAAAGTCACTTTCTTTTCCTTCGTTTTGGAAACTCTACACACTTTGGATATCCTCTAGTTTGGGGATTGTGGGTTATCCAACTAAAACTATAAACAATTTGTAATACATTTTTTAACCTTTGTCTATAACTCTATAGTGATAAAAGGTAAAGCACATAAGAACAAAACTGTTTTTTTTATAACACAATTGAATTGAATAGATAAATAAGATTTTTATTAGCTACCCTTGAACCAGAAATCTGTCCGTTTAAGATACATGTTCATGCTGACATGACTTTAAAAATTATATTCTTAACAAGAAATGTTTTAGATAATGTAAAATAAACATTTACACTATAACTCTAAAGTACCTGACACAACCAGCTGGAACCAGCTTTTTTGCTAAGTCACCAACAACAGAAGCCTCTTCAGCCACTTCCTTGATAGCAGTCTCCAATATGCCATAACCTACAGCAAGGCCTCCACTAACAAAGCAATCCCATTTACCTAAAATGAAAGAACATATTAAAGTGTCTCTTAGGAAAGGTATACTCCCTCATCAGAGGTACCATCCACTAGACTCCACTGGACCAACAAGGCAATTAAAAAAATATATCCTTTTTTAATAATAATTAATGTTTCATACCAGGCCATGTTTGCTTTGTAAAACTCCTCTGTTGTAGCCAAATGCACAATCCCTTTGTAGGGTGGAAAAGGTATCCGTTTATACTAACACCATAGTTTCTAATGCCAAAAAGACATATAGCACTTCGGTCCATTTCCAACAAACTTTCATGGTAAAAAGGGGTACTGACTTCAAAACACTAAAAAGGGAAAAAAACTAATAAGTATCTCATAGAAATATAAGCTAATTGGCAAAATCCACATTAATTGATTCACTCACGTTTACAGCTGTTTAAACAATGAATCATAAAGCATGTATAAAAAAAGAAACATGATTTTATCAATTACCTCATCCCTCCAGCCTTTAAGAGCACATATTTCACCCTCCTTCCTCAATGTCTGTAAAACCTCAGCAATTCTTGAAGTTCTTTCTTGGTAATCTCTGAAGGCTGGGTTTAGTTCTACATACTTGCCAGTGACACAAAAAATCTGAAAGTTTTGGCAAAACCTTTTGAATTACTCTAATATAATGAGTAGCAATAAACTTTCCAGATACCAACCCAAAAAATCTAAACTACATAATCAGTAAAATTGTTTCCTTACCTCTGGAAACCTTTGTAAATATTTCAAAACATCAGGACGAATTAGGCCGACCTGATGACCGCCGACAAGGAACGGCTTACAAGTTCCCTGATGGAGTCCTTCATAAAAATAAACAATTTTAGTTCGTATTCAAATGCGTAAAATAATATCAACTAGTTCAAACGTAATACAAACGTACCTGACAAATAAAAGCAGTTAAATTTTCTCGCTAACTTTACTATTTCAGAAATATTGCTGTTAATTGAATTCATGTCTTTCATATTATTCTGATCGTAAAGAAATTAAAATGTACACTAATTTCCAATGCTAAATTACCGTCTAATTATGGACTACTATATGATACTAATTCACTGATTATTCGTTTTTAAAACAGAAAAATATCGCCATCTATAACACTGATAAACATTAAACAGAATACAGTCGATAGCTGGAATACCTCATGACTATATTACAAAACCACAGATAATATAGGGTTCAAACTTTAAAAGCGTTGAATAAAAGAACTGTAGTTTTAAAATAAAGAATTTTCTTTGAAAGAGTAGGCGACAATTTTTTTTAATTGTCTATATTTTTCTATTTTTATTTTTCTCTTCCTTTTAAATTTTATGTGACTACTAGCAGACCGGGCCACGCGTTGCTGTGGCTGAAGTTATTGTTTATAGCAGTGCCATCTATTGAATTGTAGCTTATATGACACGTTTTCGGTTTACCATAGCAGTGCCATCTATTGATTACTTACTCAATCCATTGTAACTGTCAATTATTTATAGACAAATAATTTGCAATAAAATAAAATTGCGACTATAATTAAAGATCTAAACTATCCTATGTCTCAAGTAGGACCAGACTGCTCACGGTATGCCAATTTAATTTAAAATCGGTTCCGTAGTTTAGGAGTCCATAGCGGACAAACATCGTGACAGGAGATATATATATATATATATATAATGATCTTTGCTGTCATCCATCTGTTATTTTTCCAATTCTTAAATGATCGAGGCTGTCATTCTTTTGACTCCATTTATTTACATTTTGTTAACGGGAGATAAATAAGCTTAGTTAATATAATATTATGATTTAAGTTGAAAAAGTAAGATATAAAATGATGGACAATTTAGGCATAGTGGGTGAGATATCTCCTGTTTTCCGACCGTATATACAAACAATTTATCAAGATTTGAAAATAGGTAAACATTTCACATTTAAATACGTTTATTGTTATGCGTAAGTTATCTTTACTTTTAATATTCTGTCACCCGATTTTACTTTTTAGGACTATGTAAAACGAAAATAGATTTAGAAAGAATAACTGGAAATTCAGATGGAGTTGAAAGCCAACTACGATTAGTGTTACCGTATTGTTCAAAGAAGTTGAAGTGGGAAATTATATTTGATCCCTCTACCCCCTGGTTTGCTCCAGACTTCAGATTTGATGATGATAGTTTTCTTGCTACTGCTGATGAAGAGTTTTTAAATAAAAAAGTGCCTAGCCTATGTCAATGGAATTCAAGTGATCCAAAAGCACTTTGTGGTGCTATATCTGAACTAATTAATTTATATAAAATTCATCAGGTATTTATATCGCCAATATTGAATTGTTTATTTTCTCTCAATAAAAGTAAATAGTATGAATTAAACATTTAGGTAAAAAAATTAAATGAGGATGATAGTTCACGTGCATCTTTTGAATATAGCGCTTTGCTTGGAAATGCACTCACCACAGAAGAAGATGTGGAAGTCTGGGTAGGAGGTCATATTGTAGAGTTTTTAATCAAACTTAAAATCAATACATCTAGCCTTCCTGAGTTATACAATGAGAGGTATGCTTAGAAATGCATTTAATATTTGAGGTGAATATGTATATGCAACTATTATTTATTTCTTTTCAACTTTTAGTCCAGAAATCAATCCAGGTATAGATACAGCACTATTATTAGTGAGATATCCAAATTCTACAAATGCGGAGCTAATCCTGTCTCCATTTCTATCAAATGTTCTTGGTAACATTACATTACCACTGTAAGTATATCATCATTAACTTCCTATCTGCTTAACTTCATCCTCTACAAAGGCGGAAAGGGGAAATGGGTGGAATGAGCAGCAAATGATATGGATTGATCACCCGGCTTTCGATCAGTGTCCCCGATAGAAAATGATAATAAATAATCATCTGCTCAACTAAAGGGCTAAATAAATTGTACCTTACTTCTATTATAATTTGTAAACTTTTCTTCAGCATGCACCAGTCTGGAGTACTCATGGACTATGTACCTATGGTAACAGATCTATTGAACAATAAGGTAAAATATTATTATTTACTCAAATGTATGGTAGAACTGTTGGTGAGAAGGTGTTGGTGTCACTGATTAGGTTGGGCTAATTGGTTTTCCACTTGAGGATTTGCTCTTCCATGTAGACCAGCACAGACATGCACAGACTTATTACGACTAGGGGCCACTCAGGCAATTCATGAAATGATGATGGGCCTCCAAAAGTATAGGTAATTAAAGACAATAAAGAATTAATAATACTGTATTAAAATTGCAAAAAATAATTATTATTTGACTATTATTTTAATAAAACACAGACAGTATTTAATTTGAGTATTATTTTTGCTGAAGGCAGGCCACCAGTATTCGACTGGGGTGAATAGGCCTGTGCATCTCTGATGTAGACATTATTAATAGACTTTGTGTTGTCCAATAAGAGTTTTGTAGATTATTCTTTATTACTATTGTGGTGCTTGATGGCATGTGACTTTGTGACTATGTACAATGTTAACCATATTTTATTGATATTTTTGCATTCATTACTTTATAATATTAAAACTTTTTGTTACAACAGATCCAGGATATAATTAATAATGATAGAGTGAAAAGAGAATTACTAGCGCAGCTTATTATAAAATATGAAGGTGCCATATTAGAGCATGATGCTTCAAGTGCGGCATTACTGTTCCAAATGAACGATTTCCATTGGATATTGCAGATTGATATAGGTAAGATGTTTTTTTAGGTATATACTATTTTGAACAAATTAAACTATAATCTCATCTGATAGTAATAAAAATAGTTCTATCCAAAGTATGGATTGCATTGCTATTTACAGGTGCCAATTTTCCAGAAAAACCTCCCGTGTTAACACTTCGTTCGGTGTATCACATTTCCAAAGGAAAGCCCAAAGTGAAAGTCCTACAAAATTGTCCTTATAACAACTTTGAAGCATACATAGAACAACAAGTTGAAATATTTAAAAATGAGTGCAAAGGAACTGCAAGCCAACCAGTTCTTAATATTGACAAATAATTGAAATAAGTTGTGACATTACCAAATTTTATATTATAAATATTAATATGATGTTAAGCGTTTTTGTTAAGAAAGTAAGAATTTACTAATTCATATAACAATTCCATAATGTGATGAGTTTTAATATGTCTAGTGTTCAGATTATTTTTTTATGTTCTGATGCCTTGCAATATGCATCAAATTAGTTGATATGTAAATTCACTTTTAATTTAATCAAACTATACATTTTTTTATAAAGAGAAAGGCATTATTGGGCGTATTTAATAAAATAAACCAAGATTGATTCAAACTTTAATAAACTAATTTAACATTTTGTTAGAGATATTTCACACATTAGGCAAATACGTAACATTACGTTAGATTTATTTTATTCAAACAATCTTTCCAGTAAGACCTTCATACTATGTTATAAATTGACAACAACACTAATCTACATTACACTATAAATAAAAGTATGAGAATTAATCTGAATGAAGCAATTTTAATTATTTGATAATCACAAAGAGTCACTGCAGTGACAATTTTTGTCCACAGAATAACTCCACACAAAAGAATCCTTTTTTTACAGTGGTGGGATGTATTAAGGTATGATTGCTTATCTAATACAAATTTTAAATAAGATCTCTAAAGTATTTATTCAAACTTAAATAGTGTGGAGATAGATAATAATTCCAACATTAATACTTCATTAAAAAGGATATGAAAACTTCACAATGATTTTAAATTAATTTGTAAGCTTTGGATTATCTTTGTTACCTAATAATTCAAATCGATATCTCATATACATGACTTTCATTCTGTCCCAAACATTCTCAAATGAGTCCATAGCCGGCCTTACATCCAGTAGGGCAAACTGATATTTATTATCAACTTCACCTCCATCATAATAGTCGATGATGTATCTAACATCCTTGCCGCATCTATCCACGATCCAGTCGTGGCGATCAAACGGTAATTCATAACTGGAACAAAGCATGCAATATGATTAAATTAAAGAATCTTATAAATAATAAATTGTAAATAATACAACACAAAACAACTGTCTTACCCAAGCATTGACCTCATCCGGGCTCTAGGGCTATATTGAGTAGCTTTCCCTCCAAAACTCTTAAGCCTAGGATGTCCACATTCCTTAGCATGTAAAGCTTCCCATTTCAAAACTTCTAGCCATGCCTAAAGTTTTTATTTTATTATTATTAACATGATTTATAATGTTTATTGCTACCTTACATTTTAGATGCAATATTTTAATTTTTGTTGAATTCAAAATTATGGTTCTTTGTGCCTATATAAAAAGTTGATACTCTGACCTGTTCATTATTAGCATTATGTATTCTGATTATATCATCCATATCTTTTGGTTTAATGTCTTCGTCTTTCCAGCGCCACCCTTTACGTAACATAGCATTCCAGAACATTTGTTGACTTGGATAAACCCAAAATTCAGTTGTACCATCAGGCATAGCGCGAGGAATAGTAGAAACTTGTCTTTGAGTTGGAAGGTCAAAGGGTTGGTCTGGTGCTGGTTGCTGGTTTGCCGGAGGCATCTATAATATTTTATTTAATACACTTACGCTCATGTAAAAATTACATTCTTTATTTAGATTGTTACGAAATTGTATTGTATTTTATTATAAATACAAGATATCAGGTATAGCTAATAAATTATTACCATATTCTTTTAAATGAGTATAGATTTAAGCCTCTATTAACTACAACAACTTCTTTGACACTTACCATGTTATATGGATTAATGTTATTGTCATGTTGTATAGGACATTCAGATGGACGAGAATCAGACGCTGTGTCCATTTTGTTATGCATTGGGCATTCAGATGGCGGGTTTGCATTTTGAATTTTTGTAGTAGCAGTCGCTGCCTCAGCTGATACTTTGTTACCCATTTTGAGTTATGCCTTACGTAAGGCTACAAGGTTATGTTTGCATACCTGTTAAGAAATTTAATTTAAAAAAGATAAATAAGTTTCATATACTAACAATTTATAACCGTAAACTATCTGTTAAAATAAATAGCACAAAAACACATAACAATTTTATTCAAAAATTCTAAATAAGGATCAATACGCCGTAGTACCTAATAGCTATCACAGCAGCCACTGACACTTGACAGGAGCTATTTTGTCCAAAGAACATTTGCTACTTGATTGAACTATAGATGCAGAAGGGCACTTTTAGTTTGTATTCTGTGCTACAAAATATTACTCATGGTACACAAACCACAGCCTTAACGAACGAAATAGGTTATAAACTACCAGGTACTTAATTATAACAGGTAACTAATTTTTGATTTCACATAAATCTATAATTTCCAATATCCTTCTAGCTAGTTCAACGCCGGTAGGATAATGGCAGTCCATACAGTAGAATAATTTATATGGCAGCTTAATAGAGGTCTAAAAATAACTTTATTGTACCTCAACATAAAAGAAATAGAAAAGATGGTCTTTTATCCTTAGACATGACTGAACATATAGGGTAGCTAAATGATTGTGCAATGCTAAAAATCAAAATATTATATAATTCAAGTCAAATACTTTAATTTAAAATATTTGAACAGTGCTTATTATTAGGGCTAACTAAAAACCTAAATAAATTTATAGTAATAGCATTTGTATTTAAGAACACATTATTTCTTTTTTATGTACTTTAAGTATTTTTTCGCATTAAAATTGTCTTCTATTGTTTCAACAATTTTAACTTTTTTCTTAGGTTTCCTTTTGTCCAACCTTATCTTTTTCTCCTCTTCAGATAGAAGTGTTAAATCCAAAGGCAACTGAAAAAGAATGAATAAATTTGACGATTGATAAGGGACTACTTAAAATTAACTATATCTAATTAAAGCAAATAGTTATATGATGCAATCCAATAATAATATTAGAATGTTTCAAGTCACTCATATATAAAATAAAAAATCAATTAATACTTGTTCATATTCTATATAAATAATAAGGAGGTCTTGATTGATAATTGGTTTCAACAAAAGCTGATGTTGATGAAGTGTAGAAAACATTTGATTTGATGATGATATAAATTTTCAAGATAATTCTTCACTAAGAGATATAACAAGATTCTTCACTCACCTTTATTATTTTTCGCGGTTCAGGATATCTGATATTAATAGAGGCTCCATTAGATAACACCACTTTTGTTGGATACATTCTTGTATATACCTCTCTATGAACCTTCGATATGCTAGCTACATTGTTGTTAATAAATCTTTTGCAGCAATACTGGAGAATGCCTGTATTATTATATATATTTTTTATAAACATACCTACTTTATTGGTAACAAATTAAAATTATTTCTACTATACATGCGTTGAGGTTTTACTTAGAAAATTGTATAGGACATAGGTACTTCAGTCTTCATAATCCATAACAGTTTACAGTTATCAAGTGTCACAAGTATATGAGTCAAAGTACAACTCAACCTTTGTACTCGAGAATTGTAAATGATCTGTGGAAGTAAATCTGGGTGTGACTGAAGTCGCATATCTGTGACGCAAACAATAATACAAATCATTTATTTATAAAGTTTACCTTTACAAAAGCTAAAGTCTTCATTTTTCTCTTTTAATTTTTGTGGTCTTTACATTTATATTTTATAGTATATTAATAAGCTAATATTTAGATGTAGGATTTACTAACACAATTCTTCAGTGATTGAAAGTTTATTATTTATCGTGAACCAAAACTGAAGTTATGCTGTAAACCATTCAAAAGCGTCGTCGTTTGTACCTTCCTTTCTGCATCATACACCTTACAAATTATCCTACTATACGATACTTTATAAAATATGGGTTGCACTCAAAGTGAAATCGCTCCACAAAATGAAACTCCAAAAAAGGGATGCACTGATGTGTTGTGGCTCATTATTTACGTTATATTTTGGATATTAATGGTGAGATAATGAATTACAAATTTTGTTTTACTTGTGCGAATGTATATTATATTTTAAAGTTGTATATATTTTTTATTATAGATTATAATAGCTGCAATTGCCTTTGTGTATGGAAACCCACAACGACTTATAAATGGCTATGATTCATTTGGTAACACATGTGGTGTAAAAAATAATAAGAAGTTAATAAACTTTCCTCTAGCTGGTATAAGTACTGCAGATAAAAATTATTTATTCTTTATGGATGTAAAGGAACTGCGGAGATCACTAAAGATCTGTGTAAAACAATGTCCAAATAAAAAAATGGAATCCTTCGCTGATATACAAAATTTCTATAAAGAGACTGGGTCAAATTTATGTAGATATGACATAAATTTAAATACTACAACAAATACAAATGGCTTAAGCAATTACATAGGACCGTGCCCCGTGTTTCCAGTTTATGATTCCTTCCCCCTTTTAAATAGATGTTTTCCAAAGTCTGCTAAAGATGTAGCACAGAAAGTCTTTACGGACTTCTATGATCTACTCAACAGTTGGGATACTATTGAGCAAATGTTATCTGATATCTATAATTCATGGAAAGAAATGATCATATGTGTCATTATAGCATTTAGTAAGTATACATTAGTGCTAATATTCATGTCATACATTTGTGATACTTTATTATTAGTGGTTTTCTCTTTACAGTATTTTCTCTCATAATGGTCTCAATTTTGCATTTGCTGGCTACATTAGTTTCTTGGATATTTATGATAGTAGTATCTATAGCTAGTGTGGCAGGAACTGCCTTACTGTGGTACACATATCATGAACTTAGAACAAAGCAGAGGGATTTTTCTGACAGTACTGTATTTCTGGCTGTAAGACACCAAATTTGAGATAAATTTGCTTGATATGCATATTTCTGTGTTCTTACATTATTATTTATTTTAGGAATCACTGAAAAATGAAAAGGCTTTTCTGTGGTACTCTATTATAGCAACTATAATTACAGTAAGTTAATATGCTAAAAATAAAAAATAATTATTGCTAAATTCCAATTAATTTACTTTTATAAATCAGGTATCAAAACTTTATTTTATATTACAAATAAATGACTTAATTTATTATGTTGATCCTTAACTTAAGGATTTAAGCTTAATTCTAATTTTTTTTAGGTAATTCTTCTGCTTCTAGTATGGGTGATGCGTTCAAGAGTTTCATTTTTAGCAGCTTTATTCAAAGAAACAGCGCACTGCCTCGGATCAATTCCAGCACTGTTCTTGCAGCCAATAATAACATTTTTCTTTTTGGTTCTATTTTTCACTTTCTGGTCATTCGTTGTTGTAAGTACATTTACAATTTCAAAGATTTTTAAATATTATGCATATATCTGTCTCAGGCATTATACTTTTCTATTTTATTAATTAATAAAATCATTAGTATCAGTGACATAGGAGCTGATGCATGTACGGCTTATAATCAATGGGTTGATGTTAAACATGTTTCTTAACAATACTATTTTTTTTTAACATTTTATAATGAACATTAATTGCAAATTGGTTTAAGAGCATCTTGTTATATGGGTATTTGAGCTATTGTTTTGTGACTGTTATGGGGTATTTTACCTTTGACCAAATTAACCCCACGCTTGACCGTTGTTCCCTAACATAAAAATATAGTTTATATTGTAGGGATTAAGTTTCTAATTTTGACATGTAGATACTGAACCCCAAAGCCTTAATGTATTTATGTAACTTTTTATTGGTAGGTATGTTTAGCGACTGCAAACTATCCCGGGATACCATATAAGACAAACTTCCTAATAAATGGTACTTCTGTACCTGACCATGTTGATAAAACAATTCAAGCTCAGAATTATAATGATAGCGCCACATTAAAAAGTAAGTACTATATATACATATAAATTTAATGTAATGTGTCATTTTATATCACAATGGAGATATCTCTTATCAGGCACCTTTAAACTTTTAATATGCGTGCCTATTTTTTTTGGTAATTAAAAATAATAAATGAAATTTTACAAGTTCATTTAAGTAAGTTTCGTGGAAAAGTTTTCGATACGTCGATATAAAAAGATTTTTTATTCTTTCAAAATTATTAATTAAAAGCCTTTGAAAACTTTTTTATTATTTTTTACATGTTATTGCACATGAAGGCACTATATGTGTATTAAAAAAAATGACTCGGTAGCTCAATTGGTAGAGCAAAAGCACGGAACGCTGATGATGCCAGTTCAAGACCTGCTCGAGTCAAAAATGTTTCAATTTATTTTCGATTTTAAATTAAAAACGCCAGTAGTACACAATTATATAAAGCATTAACGGTTTAAAACGCGTTATATATTAGTAAAACAAATAAGTTTAACTAATATATATCGCGTTTTAAACAGTTAAAGTTATCCTAAAATAATAAATTAGTACTTCGTTACTGACACTTATCTCCTTACTAAGCCTTTATTTAAAATCGATTTTTTAATTTTATTCCCGAAGGTAAAGATTATAGAAGCGGTATTGGCATATTGCATCGTCGGAATTTCAAACCAAAACTAAGTTCAAGGTTTCTTTTAGATTTATTGTGTATCTAATTGATTTAGTTTTAATGTATTTAGTAGCTAACATATTATATAGAATTGTTAGTAGTAGAGTAGCAATCGCTTTTAATGTTATCATTTATTTTCGATATTATTATTTAGGCTTTATTCTAGATCAGATTCAGTTCGACCCGATGTGGGTGAAGAGTATGTGGTGGATGTGCCTGATATGCCTCGTTTGGGGCAGTGAGTTCATTCTTGGCTGTCAACAGATGACGATAGCCGGTGCTGTCTCCCATTGGTACTTTAGGTAACATAATCATAAACTACACATGTAGTGCATAAGACACTAAAACAAAATGGCAGTACGAAAATTGGCATATTAACTATATATTTTGACTACGGACCGACATTGCGGAAGCTTCGCAGTAGTTTTAGTTATATATTTCGCGTTTTAAACAGTTAGTGTTTTAATAAGCCATTTTTTTGTTTTGGATGTTGACCATTAGTTTTTTGCTAGTTAGAAATAAAATGATTATCTTATATAAGAGTAGACTACCAGATAATTACCAATGTGTGTTGTATTATTATTAGATCATGAGTCTCTCGGCTTATTTACTTGTCGTATGACTAACCAGAGAGATGTAGGCTGATGTGAGTAGGTGATCTAATCGCATAATATATTTTCCAGTCTCCACTATGATAGACTTTATTCATGATATAACTGCTATTTATATTAAACTAGCTTTATCCGGTCATTTGACTCGTGCTTAGTTTAAAATTAAATATATTTCAATTTTGAATATTTTTTGTACAAGACAGCTTTGACAATATAAAAACAAATTCTCAATTTAATATCTTTAAGACACGGCCAGGACTCGAACCCTGGGCCACGGAATTCCATAGATATTGATCACATTACCAGTGTTCTTTCATTAGAGTAATTGTTATTTAATACGATAGTTTCATAAGTTTTAACGTAATATTTTTTAATGTACTACGTTTACCAAATTCTACCCGCCACGTTCATTTCATTCCTTTTTAAGTATGTGATCAGACTTTCAGATTTACAGAAAAATTATTCAAAGATTAGGGAACACCTAATCTTCGAAACATTATATCTCTCGGGATTCTAGTCCTTGATTTCCCCTCACAAACAATGTATGATGGCGCAGTCTACAACTAAGCTTACGACAGCACTCGTATGTAAAATACGTTTTTTTTTATTGCAGAGGCCCGAACGCTAATCCATCGCCTGTCCTATATTCAATTGGTAAACTTTTGAAATACCACTTAGGATCTGTGGCGAAGGGCTCCTTCCTAATCACATTGTTCAAGATACCGCGGCTTATTCTCACCTACCTCCATGCTAAGTACGGAACGAAATTTTTATTTATTTAATTAACATATGAAAATTTATAATATATTTTTCATTGCACTTTTAACTCAGAATTTAAATAATAAAACCAGTGTATACTAAAACGTAACTCAAACCACAGATACAATTAGATTTGTCCACACAAAATTTAAATTTAGAACAAATTCTTGTTGTTACTAAGAAAAAAATAACAATTGTGTGACAAAGACAACACAGTACACAAAGTGTCTCTTCCGAAAGATTATGTAAAGAACAAATTGAAATAATATGTGCCTCGACTAGAGCAGTGGCAACGCTTACGGCACGATATGCCATCGGTTGCGGGTTCGACTATACTACATAGAAACAGCAGTGTATATCTTAGTGCTCTTTCGTGCTTATTGTCTGTATAATTGTGAATTAAAGTAGAATTAAAATAAGATATAATTATGTTTGACAGGCTTGTTGGTATAGTAGCAATATATAGCGAATAATCAACGAATTGTGAGTTCGATCTCCACCAGTTCCAATAGCTTTCTAATGAATTTATAATTTTCTGAAACATGTTGTCTTCTATCACAATAAAAATGTATTCAAGCGATCTCGCTCTAATGTCTAATGTTTTTTATAACTTGCATTAAACATTTCTATCCAGACTGTCATCGAGAGCAGAGAAAGGTTCAGAGTGTGCTAAATGTGGACTTAAGTGTGGGATCTGCTGCTTCTACTGCTTGGAGAAGTTTATTCGCTATTTGAACCACAACGCGTATACTATTATCACTATTGAGAGGTGTCACTTCTGTAAGGCGGCTGCAAAGGTATAGTTGTGGACTCTATTCAATACATATCTAAAAAAACTACCCACTTTTAGTACATCTGCAGTTAATATTATCTCTTGTGAAAGATTCCCTTCTTGATCGCGAAAACCTTTATATCGCATCTATACTAATACATAATATAAAGCTGAAGAGTTTGTTTGTTTTAATACGCTAATCTCAGGAAGTACTGCTGCGATTTGAAAAAAAAAGTTGAAGCTTACTGTGAATTTAATTTTCAGGCCTTCAGTACTATAGTGAACAATGCCCTTCAAGTGGCCACGATAAACAGCGTTGGTGACTTCATACTGTTCCTTGGCAAGTGTATAGTGACTGCGGTCACTGGTATCATCGGCCTTCTGTTACTCAAGAGGAATTCTGACCTGCATTTCTTTGCTATTCCCACTCTCGTTATATGTATCTTCTCCTTTTTCATCGCGCACTGTATTCTTTCGCTTTATGAGGTAAGCTAAAGTCCTTTATTATTATCAGTTTTATTACTTAGGAGGACAGACAAACATGTCGTTCACTTGATATTAAATGAAATACCCCAGACTTATAACATCTAACGCTGCTCTATCTATTTATTTTGGATGTGGGTAGTCGGAAATCCACAGACTGAAACCGAAACGCGACTGACTTTTTCATCTGTTGACCCTGGCGGAATTTCGATATTCCTACCAGATTATTCTATTTTAAGATTTTAGAAAAAATCCATGTTTCAAAAAAAGTATAACTTTATTGAAAACATGGTGGACTCGGTGGAGATCGAAGTCACGATGAGAGGTATATAAAAATGTGTAGTTAAATGAAGCATTTTTAGCAAGTTTAAAATTGGGACCTCTTTTCGGATGCTATATAGTAGTACCTGGAGCAATGATGGACGTCCTCAATATTGAAGTCAAGAATAACTCTAATATATGTAATTAGTTTCTAGTTTTAGTACCAAGTTACATTAGTAAACTAAAGTATAGTGTGTAACTATGAAAAGATTTGTTTATTGCTCACATTTTCCAAGTCACGTTGATCTGTCGGTATGTACAGAAAACGTTACGTAATGAGGTCTAAAGTTATCTAGTGGATGAAATGTATAATGTTTGTAGCTTACGCGAGTAGTACGGATTCAAATAAAACACATTAAACGGTTTAAATCGCGAAATGTATTAGTTAAATTATTTTAACTACGGCCTGATGTCTCAATGCTAAGCAGCAGTCATGGTCACGGGGAAACTGCTTGTATTAATTTTTCGCTTTCAAAACCGTCATCGCCATCCATATTGCATCATGTTTAGGCTTCATTGAACCAAGTAATGGAAGCTCTAAGTCAAGCAGTAATGCTATTTTATCGTAAAATACGTAATTACTATCTTATTAAGTTAGATCTCGATAAATTTCGGTTTTCCTTCAAAATCTTATTTATTTTTTTAAGATGGTCGTGGATTCACTATTCCTGTGCGTGTGTGAAGATCGCAATTTGAACGGCAGCGATGGTCGGTGGAAGAGCTCCCGCCTCGCGGAATTGGGCGGTCACAAATCCCGTGAGGAACAAGATGGCGCCGAGTTGGAAGATTTGCAGGAAAAGTACTAAATTCATTCTTTGCATGGTATGTTTATGTCCAGTGAAGTAGGAACTCATCAAAATGAGGTTGCTAGAGGCACAGTGGCCTAATAACAAAACGAACATGAATTCCAATAAATAAAAATGCGCAATTACCTTAGGGAAAAATTTATTTTACTATTATTCCAGTAAATGTTTTTAATTTTCAGACTATAAGAAACTGAAATTAGGGTTAGGGGTTGTCCATTAATCACGTCATCTTTTTTTAGCATTTTTTCCTCCCTCACATCCCTCATTGGTGATACGTAGTGAGATTTAAGACCACCCCCTCCCCTTTCCCTCTAGCGCCCTCAAATTTAAAGTGTATTTTAATGTTGTTGGATTAAAAATATCTAAACGCCATGTTGGAAATGTGACAACGCGTGACGTCATATGTGGTAATATTCGTAATCATGGGAAATAGGTGCACTCAATTATCTGCCACTAATAACGTCACGCACTGTGCTTTTTAGGTAATTATAATAATATAAATAGGTTTTATGATTATTTTGTACATATTTTTTGTTCCAGGTGAAGTTATGACTGATGAGGCTTTACAAATGCAAGATGATGCACGGCTTTTTTTAACATTTTATTAAGCAAAAAATAGTGTGATTTACGCACACAATCATCATATAACTATTATTTACGAATCTCCAATCGGAACTTTTAACGAATCTATGTTGTTTTATAAGGTTAATGCATACTTAGATATAAGGACATAATTGTTGTGACTTCTTTATTACCTATATATGAATATAGCTTTTTTTAATGTACGCACAATAAGGATCTAATTAAAAAAAATAGTACAGGTCGCTAGGTAATCTAGAAAGATTATACAATAAGTACAACTTATTTGTTTAGATATTATTAAGCCATTTTTATTTTTGATAATATTTTTTACTCATTGTATAAGAACGCATTTTATACATCTTCCACAGTTTTAACGCGTGATTCACTTCTAATGCTTCAACGACTACGCAAATCGTTATAACTAATCAATGAAGTAGAACGTAATTTTTATTAATCTTATAATAGTTTTGATAGCTTTTTATAAATGATAGTTTATATTCCACTTGTTAAATGCAGTAAACCGTCCAGTAAGTCTCCATATACTTTTTGCTCAGTTTACAAAATTGTTACAACATACTGTTTCTCATATTTTACATGTCTGTTATGGTAGTATTAAAGACTGTGTTTAGTATTATTTTATTTAGCAGTAGCTTATTAATATCTCCTTTTTATTACATATAGAATATAAGTGTATCTCATTTATTTTAATGTTTTTACGCTTCTTATATTATAGTAAGGTAATTTCTACCTCTTATCTTCCACCTTGAATATTTTTAACTTTTTTGAAACAATAAAACACATGTGTGGATATTGATGTTTTATTTCATCTTATCAAATGCTATTTTGATTTTCCTGGCTTTTTCTTTAATTGTTTTCTCTTCTTAATCTGATCTGAAATCTTTTTGCTCTTTGCTTTTAATTGTTTACGTCGTATAGCCATGTCTGGCTTAGTTTTTGTTTTCTTAATTTTCATTGATAAAGGTCGTTTTTCTGTTTTTTCAGTTGTATCTTCTGCTTCCTCTTCTTCATTTAGTTCATCTTCGATTTCATCTAAAAAAATATAAAAGTTATTTTTAAATGTATCAACAAAAAAAGCTATGTAGGCAGTATAAATGATATAATCACCTTTTACAATGTTTGTGGCTTTTTTCATAGGGTTGCCTTTAAAGAATGCAGAATCTTCAATGTCAGGGTACCCAGTTTCTGGCCTAGTGGCTTCATAAAGTACTTTCTGCTCAATTCTTCTTTCATACTTATGACCAGCTTTCTTAGTAAATGCTTGTCTCAATTTGGCAGGGCTGACATATTTAGGATTTTCCCATAGAGTAGCTCCTCCAAATGACCCAGAAAATATTTTAACCTAGAACAAATAAAATACATTAATTTTTTAACTATGTTTAATTTTCAAAGAGATCATAAAACTTTAATATATTTTTTTAATTATAATATTTTCCACATTTGAAATAAATTACTTACAGGATTTAATACAAATCTTGGACCTATTTCAGCCAATGCTCCATCTTCTGACAAAATTTGATAATTCCTAAACCAAATCCTGTTATCAAGAATCATGAAAGAGTAAACATGGTCAAAAAATGGTTGACTCTTGGGATGGTGTTTTGGTACACCAAATATTTGAATGAGTAATTCTTTCAATAAGGAATAGTGAGTGTCCTTTGTAAATTGTGGATCAAATGATAAAAGCGGTCTTGATCCCCTCAAACAATTACCAGTCATTTTTAGTTCTCCCATTGTGTATACTGCAAAATAAGTTAAAAATTAATATATAAATTGCATCTTTACAATGGGTTTGATGACAGAAAACATAATTTGTAAACCAATATTACTCAAATAAATAATAAAAATAAGATTGTAATAAACTATACTATTTCAGAGAGACTCAGGAACTTACTATTTTCAACTAAAAATTTTACACTTGGTCCATTAGGAATGTTAGACATCCACAGATACAAATCTCTCATTTTTCTCCCCTCGAACAGTAAACACTTGTTGCAATTTTTCATTTCACTAATTTCATTGACGACATACAAATTTTTACTTCTTTCCATTTTAGATTCAGTCTTATGATGGGGCATTAATTTTTTCAAATCCTCCATCAAATGACGATGACGGTGGTTAATACCACGCGCTGCAAAAACTAAGACTCTTTGCCTGTTAATCCATTTTATCTGAAACAGAACAATTTATGAACCATCATACATCTAATAACGCGTATACTTTCTTATAATGTTTACCAAATTACCTGTTTTGGAGTAGGATCATCGGACATGCGAACCGGCGGTAAAACCACCATTTCCTCAGATTTTTTAGCTTCTTGCGGCTTCGATTCCGCTTTTGCATTCTTTTTTACTTTGATTTTTGCCATTTTTAAACACAATTAACGAGGTTCACGAAAAATAAACATTCAATATTCAATGAAAGGCACAAGATAACCTCTACTTTGTAATTCCACGATCCACATGTGACATTATGTAAACAGTTTTGACATTTGACAGCATAGCTTAAGATATCTTTTAAAGACATGGCAGCAATACTCAATCCTAGTGATAGTTTGAATTATTATTTCACCCTTATTCTGGCTCTAGTAAATCCGCCCTTATTATTTTTTAACAGACTAAGAGAAAATAATTATTTTTGTCGACGCATAAAATACAATTTTAATTAGCGATATAAGTACTTCTTCTTCTAAAATAAGATAATTTTGTGTATACTGTAATACATTATATTTATTCACAATATTTTTAAATATAGTACTTTTGTTATTATTCTTTGGTTTAGTAGTATTAACAATATACGATATAAAGCGATAGTGTGATGTACACTTGCTATGTAATTGTTTCACAATTTATTGCGCAGTATACATTATTTTAAATTAGTGCTTTAATTTATTTTTTCATCATGATACGACAATTTTCTCAGATCCTTTTGATTAGTTTGGAAAAACATATTTTCATAAATAACTTAAAATATTCAACTAGTGCACTCCCGCGCTTTTCATCGGTAAGTTTGAAAAATGGTTAATTATAAATGAATTTTAATGAAAACTATGCCCATATTGTTTTTAGGAAAAATACAGTATAAAGCGAAAAAACTTTGGTTCGTTACACGATGCGGATCTAAATTATTTCAGATCTTTGCTAAGTGCGGACCGTGTTATAACAGAAGAATCAGATGTATTACCTTTTAATATAGATTGGATAAAAAATTGTCGAGGTAAGTAAATTAGCATTAATTTTATTACCATCTATATTAATTGTATAAGTGAAATAATTCTCTATCAATCTCTGATAATAAAGCACAATTTTAATGTATTAGGTTGATAAATAGTCCAGTGAGCTTTGTCAAACTAAAATATTTAAGTATCTTAATTCCTGTAGTCCAAATCCCCTCATACTTTTACAGTATGAGATCTTTTATTATTATAAACACAGTTTTCTTTTTAGTAAATACAGTATACATTTTTTTATTTGTAGGACAGTCAAAGGTGGTTTTAAAACCTAAAACGACTGAAGAGGTGTCTCAAATTCTTTCTTACTGCAATAGCAAGAAGCTAGCTGTTTGTCCTCAAGGCGGGAACACTGGCCTGGTTGGCGGTTCAGTGCCGGTGTTTGATGAAATCATTCTACATCTTGGCTTAATGAACAAAATAATTAGCTTAGATGAAATTTCGGGTCAGTTTCTTATTTCAGTCTTATAATTTGTGCAATTTTTGTGTCGTAGACTAGTATTTCATAGTTTTAACTAGTGGTACATGAAATAAAACACTTAATGTTTTAAAAACAGTTTATTACATTTCATATTAGGTAATTGATTTTTAATTATAACTAAACTCTAGATGTGTTTGCACAGACCATTGTTCAAGAGATAGACATGGTAGCACAATCAGTTAGAGTAGTAACATGGAACACTGTACATGAAGGTTTAAGTCCTGCCCATGTCGTTGAATGTTTTCTATCTAAATAAGTTTTTAATTTTATTTTAAGCTAGAAGTAGCTGTTTACAGAGCTAAACACTATTTAATTGTCTATATATATATGTATATATAGTTCATTGACCTTGAAATTCTTAGATACAACAATGATCTACAAAAATCTACTTCTACTTAATACTACATAAGGGATACCTATTTAGTGACATGTTATTTATGAAAAGTTATATTTTTATCAGCATTTGATGTGACAGTAGTTATTCTACTTCTTGTGACAATAACCAAAAATAACCTATCTTAAAATGTTGCTTTACTTAAAAAGGCTCTGATCTTTTTGAAGGGAGATCTGGGGATCTTCACTTTTGGATAAAAATTCAGTAAATCTGTTAACTATATTTAAAACAATGTGACACAGGTGCTCTAGTTTGTGAAGCAGGCTGCATATTAGAGAATTTGGACAACCATGTCCGGGAACACAATCTCATTATGCCCCTTGACCTTGGCGCGAAAGGCTCATGCCATATCGGCGGGAACATCAGCACTAATGCTGGTGGGTTGCGTCTATTGCGCTATGGAAACCTTCACGGATCTGTTTTGGGAATTGAGGCTGTAAGTTTCCTTTATTGGCCGCAGATTATTACATAGAATATTTATATATAGTTTTTCTAATGTCGGTAGCTCAGTGGTCTGACATTGCGTTTAGCACGGGAGATCTTGGGTTCCAATCCCGGAAACGATAATTATTTACGGTTTGACAGGGCGGAAAAGTCGTATCAACAACTTGTCTGTAAATAATATTGATCGGACCGGAGTCGGAAAAGCTACTTGTACTTTCTGCTTATTAAAAGTTCTTTTGCGTAAAAGGTTATTTTTAAGACTTCAATCTATTAAACAAAACACTTTAACGGTTTAAAACGCGATATATTTGCTAAAGTTATTTGAAACCGATTTTTAACCTCGGCCCGACGTTTCAGATGCTTTGCAGCATACTATAGACAGATTTCAATATTATCATTATATTTGACCCCTTAATTACTTGATGTAACCGTATTTGAAATTATGCTGAGTCATTAAAAATAAGATCCACAAATATGCCTTACCAGTATTTATTGTGATCAACATTGTCTCTGTGTTTATTTAATGCTGATTTGAATCTATCGAGATTCAACATATAAATATAATAATGTGTGGTATTTTATTTGGAACATTAAAAAAACGACAACACAGATAAAACTCGAAACCACCATATTATATGAAAAAAAAACCCACCAAAAATCTATCTGCATACACAGTGTTATGAAATTGATATATAGAGCAATCGAGGAATGGCAATAAACTCTCTGCAACTCCTTTTAAGGCCAAATTTTATCCTAAACAGTCTTCGCTCTTCACATACTTATAGTACCTAATTTGCTAAATACGCAAGTAATGTATTCATAAGTAGTTTATTCTTATATTAAAACTCTTTTAACTGTTTTAAAAGTGAAGTATGTTGGTGTAATTTGCATGTACCTATTTCGTGTATTGTTTCAATTTTATGATTTTTAATGTTATACATTTTTTAAGGTGAAAGCTGATGGTACAATAATCGATTGTCTACGGACTCTAAAGAAAGACAATACGGGGTATCATTTGAAGCATCTCTTTATTGGTTCAGAGGGTACCCTGGGCGTCGTCACGAAAGTCGCCGTGCACTGCCCAGCGCTGCCGAAAGCTGTTACTTTGGGATTTTTTGGTATGTCCTAAGCTGAACTAAGAACTTCTCCCTTTATTTTACAATGTTTAGTTTTAATGGCATTGGTTAAAGTTGAATTTCATTGTTTCTCTGTTAAAAAATATCTTCTGAAAGAACTAGACACTTTATATAAACTTACTAGGTGTGCCTGCGACTTCGTCCGCGTGGAATATAAATAAGGGCATCATAAGATTGTTTGTGTTGCTAACAACCTCACCACCTTTAAATTATAACTGATTTGACTCAAAACTTCGTCTGCGTCCCGTCGCTCTGTCGAAGTTAATCTTAAAAGATTGACGTATATAGCGTATATTTTTTAGATCATTCTACCATATTTTTTTTTTGGTAAATTGAAATGCTTAGCAATGCCGGCAACGGAAAACCTCAAAAATGAAATATTTCACCCCGTTTGTTCTCTATGTTTATTCGTTCTTATTAGTCGCAGTGTGATGTTGTGTAGCCTAAAGATGATAGGGCTATGTAACACAGAAAAATGTTTCATTTCAAACCAGCAGATTCTGCGATTAGCGCGTTTAAACAAATAAACTTTTCAGCTTTATAATATTAGTAAAGATTATAGGAACATTCTTGCAAAAACTCGAACGAACTTATATTCCATTAACATTATCTATTATTGTGTTTTTTTTTAACAGAAATCATATGTATTGTTATTTTAGGCGTAAACTGTTTCGAGAACGTATTAGAATTGTACAAAAGTGCGAAGAGTTCTCTGGGAGAAATTCTATCGGCATTCGAAATGGCGGATAATGGAGCAATCAGTTCTACGGTGGAAAATTTGAAGCTGTCGTGAGTGTATTCGATTTATCACAATTCTATAAAAAGATGTTTGACTAACGTATCTGCTTTATCTGTTATATAACGTTCTTATCTGTAGAATTTTTTGCTAACTCATCCTATTTACATGCATCGTTGTACTTGTGTCTGAAAAAATAATAGAAAGATTGTTCTCGTTTGTTAAGAAAGAGCCACTTATGATTTCGTGCAAGCTAAAAATGAGACTGCTTCTAAGAATAAAAATGTAGAATGTCATGTTGTTCACACAAATATATTGTATTAAATTGGATGCCAACCAAGTAATAAGTTACCATTTTTGTTTTATAAACGTTACGATAATAATTTGTTTGGTCTAATGATAGCAATCTATGGCTCATAATCAACGGGTCGTTCGTTGGATTCCCACCATAAATGGTTTCTATAAATGTTTATATTTTTTCTAAAAAATGTTAAACGGGTTTTCTATTTAATATGAGTAGGAGTATAAATTCTCCGTCCTTATTCAAACCACCGTCGACAGATGAAAAGCCATACAGTGTAATCAATTTTCGATTTCCACTTGCATATTTCTCAATGTCAAACCCGAAATAGGTCTTCAGCCTGTCTTCTTTAGATGATATATTATAAACGTAGGTATAATAGTATTCAATAATCTTTTCATTCAGGAATCCATTAGGAGACTTTCCATTCTACGTTTTAATAGAAAGCAGCGGGAGCGACGAAGGACACGATAACGAGAAATTGAACAGGTTTCTCACAAAGGAAATGGAAACTGGGCACATAATAGATGGAACTGTTACTTCGGAGCCAGCTAAAATGAGGGTGAGGGCCAAGTATTTTATAATGTTTGACCTTTACGCGAGTAGTACACATGTAAAGAAAACTCTTTTAACGGTTTGAAACGTGAATTAGTTAGAACTATTTACAAATTATTAAAAAATGGTTCGACGTTTCGGATGCTTTGGCAGCAGCGTCAGCGGACCGTAGATATACAATATTACATAGACTTCTATTTAAATTTTATACTGACCCTAAGGTCAATTAATTAAGTTGTATTAACTAGTAGTTTCTAAAAACTACTAGTTAATACAGCTTAATTAATTCTTTTAATAATTTTTAACGCATAAATAGTCACAGAAGTAGAAGAAAATAATATTTTTTACATGTTATACACATGATGACAGTATATAGAATAAAATTGAAAAATAAAATTCGACTGTGGCAGGATTTGAACCGACATCGTCAGCGTTCCGTGCTGTTGCTCTTACCAACTGACAGTTTAAAATTTGGTTAGATTTTTGATTTAATACAATCAGCAATATGATTTGCTTTCAGAATATATGGAATATTAGAGAGAGCATAGCCGGTGCGGGTTTAGTAGACGGTTACGTGTTTAAGTACGATGTATCGATACCGTTACAAAACTATTACGACATTGTGTTGCTCCTACGCAAGAGGTTAGGCAACAAAGCTACGCGAGTGTACGGATACGGCCATGTTGGTATGTATAAGAACTGGTATTATTTGTTAATAAATTGTATTCTATTACGGTAAAAACCAAAAGTTTTGTTGGTTTAATGGTATGGTTTTATGAAACATGTTGCACTTTGTCTGGAAATCTGGATATGAAATCGGAGGAAGGAATCAAAATTCTGTCCGAGCCAGAGATAAAAAGCCGTAAATTAAAATCGCCTTTCGTTTTGGATCCGTGGTTTTCCGAATATCCAAAGTCAAAATCGACGAGCCAAGGACGACAGCTCATCTAGTTTAGATGATACATGGCGGGGGGTTTCACCTCCCATCAAGTGAACGCCAGGCTTGTCTGTCCTCTCAATAAAAAAGTGAAGAAAAATACACAGATTCTTAATAAAATATACGTCATAGAAGTAGGTTTTGTATTCCGATATATACGTTGTGTAACAAATTAAAATTACATCGAAATCGGCTAAGCCGTTTTTCTGCTAAGAATTGACAAATTCATAGGTCCTTTTCTTGAAGGTTTGATGTATTAAACATAAACGTTTTATGTGTTTTCTTTTAGGCGATGGAAACATACACATCAACGTAACGACTCCGGAATATACGAAAGAAGTGTACGAAATGCTGGAGCCCTATATATTTGAGGAAGTGGCCAAAGTTAGGGGCTCTATAAGTGCGGAACACGGCGTCGGGTTCCGTAAACCGCAGTTTATACACTACAGCAAGGACGAAACTGCTTTACATCTTATGCACGGCTTGAAGCACTTCATGGACCCTAACGGAATACTCAATCCGTACAAAGTTTTGCCAGATTAAGTTAGGTTATGTGAAATCTATCATACTACAGAATACAGATATATAATTAATATCCATACTAATATAATTAAGCTGCAGAGTTTGTACGTTTGAACGCGCTAATCTCAGGAACTAATGGTTCGAATTGAAAAATTATTTTTGCGTAATATTATATAGCCTAGAACCTTCTTCAATAAATCGTCTATTTATTAGTTTTTTGAGCCAGTAGTTCCCGAGGTTAGCACCTTCAAACATAAAAACAAACGCTGCAGCTTTACTCTATATTAAGATTCACTAAGTACATATATTTTTATAAGTTAATTAATGCCTTATTGACTATTTTTGGTGATTAATATTTATAACTTTATAGACTGGTACGCTTCAGATTGTTGTACCCATATCGACTGATATATCTTTGTTACGTTGTTCAAAATTTTATAAGTGTTATTCATACGGACATCATCCATTCGGTGAAATAAAACATCGATTTATTTAAATGACTTTTATTAAAATATCCATTTATTCTTATAACATTCATAATATCACTGCAACAAAAATACAATGGAATATTAAAAACTTTCGCCTAATCGCTTTACATAAGTGTTCAGTATTTTAAAATTATATTATAAAATTGAATTCATTCATAGTTCATTTGTGAATGATATGCACGTAATTAGAACATTTGAAATCGGCGACGGATTAACATTAAAATTGCGGTCGAGCTGACGTGGCCATAGACAAAGTAAATAGGGGAGGGGTCCAGATGGATAGTTAGAACTAGAGGTTCACTATTGAATTTCATGAGAGTTTCATTAATTCTACAAGAAGCCTTTGGTAACTCTAGCCCTTGGATCCACCAACCTTCGTCTGTAATTTAAATAGAAAAATAGAATCAATAAATACTTTAAAAGACATCATTAAAATGCCGAGATAATTTTCGATCTCTCCTAAATTTCACATCAAGCAATGACGTTGAAATCTTGTAAAAATATAAAATCGTTAGCTTCGCAAACGGCCCTTTGATCGTTCGAAATAAAATTCACAATTACGTGTCGTTGTACAAGGCGTCCAGTGCAAAAATAAACTTCGGTGATTGCAGTGAACTTTCTCGATGTCATTCTCATGTAATACAAAATAAATGGAGCAATAATGAGATCACTAAATAAATTTAAAATACGGACGAAATGTAAACAAGAACGTCACCAGAAACTGTTTCACGGTGAAAGCTCAGGAGACTTAAGTAGAAATTAGTTACGAGTATACAATGTAGGTTTTACTTAGTGTAAACAAAAATTGTTATTGCATATTTCTGTTTCACAGGTTATTTCGGGCCCCAGTTTAAAAGTGATAACATTAATAGCAGCGAAAGCTACGGTTTAATATGGCAAACTCCCAAAGGCAACGATAGAGAAACTATTATGCTTATATCCGTCTCGTCACCGCATCCACTTGTTTACATTTAGTCACTCGGTCTCAAAGTAAAAGGGGTAAAACAATATCTAGATTACACCTACAACAGTCACGAATGTCAATTACAAATATGTTCCGGATTTCAGACCAAATTCTAAAACAGAAAACAATGATTCAATTCGATTTGTGATTTAAGCGCCGATCGGCTCGTCTTACTACTATTTGGAGCCACCCATTAATTACGTCGGATTCATGATTTTTTCACCCCCCACGTCCTAGTCACATTTGGATGAGTTTCTCCCAAGAATTAGTATCTATATTATGCCTTAACGGAGTGTGACGTCACGAAGTTTAGATCTACCCTCCCTTCGCAGTGTCACACTCCACCTGTGACGTATTTGATCGATGGCCCCTCACGAATAAACAACTTTAACGGATAAACACATCACCCTATTACTATTTTCTGCGATATAAAACCGGTAAATAGAAAATACACCTTCGGAACCGTTAAAATTGCTTTGTTTTTATTCTGTAACAAATGCGTTAAGGCAATGTATCATAATATTCTTATATTTCACCACTTCGTTCCAAAGTGTAAAAACTCCATAATTTACAACGCGTTCGCAAATTCAATACAATTTAATATCAATAGGATTTTATTGGCTTCCTCTTTGTAGTTTGTGAAGCCTTAGGTTTACACTTTAGAACTGAAGTATCGAGTAAGCCTACATGTTATTGCTATGACTTGTACAAATACATAAGAATGTTGTGTTAGTTTTGCCGTATGGACACGCTCTATGTGCTGTGACAGCGAATTTATTTTTGTAACTTTTTAGAAATATTTTGTATTTTTTTTAAGTCTATTATAGATAAGACGCTGGTCTGATCCGGAAGCGGCTAAGCGTGTGTCGGTTATCGCTTGATCTGGTTGGAGAGCTTAAGGAACTCAAGGAAGCCCTCCTGCATCTCTGGGTCCATGCCGGTTTCCCACGCGTCTGTTTCCAGCTCAGCGCTGAAATGTAATTATGAAAACGTCAAGAATCTCATATGGAAGTTGAACTACAATAAAAAGTCACGCAATTACACTATAGCCTATTTTTTCTAACTTAGAAACGACGTCTCCCCGTGACCACGGCTGCTGCAAAGCATCCGAAACGTCGGGCCGAAGTTAAAAATCATTTTCAAATAAGTTTAACTAATATGTCGCGTTTTAAACCGTTAAAGTGTTTTATTTAAATGTGTACTACTAGCGTAAACTATAGACAAGTTACCATTAGTTCTCTATGGTTTGAAATCGGTCATATTTATTGCGTTTCTTTAAAGTGTTTTATTTTAATAAAACCTTTTATAGAGTGAAGTTGTTGCCAACGATGTCAAGTGAATATCGAAACAAAAATCGATTGTATGTTGACCAAGCAACCTCAATATGTATTCGAAATCTGTTTTATAACGGACCTACTTTTAATTTTCATTTCATGACGTGTAGAACACTTTAGCGATCGTACACGATTGTCGATTACTTTAATTACATCCCATCCCTATGTATCAAACTAGAGAAATTTTAATCCCTGCGTTTATGTCCATTAACTTTTAGAATTCATATTAATTTAGCATGAAGCTGTGGTTTGTTACTAGTTTAGTTTAATATCCAGTCTCAGTGTTTTTTAGCGTAAATCAATGTAAACCTAGTAAGAAAATTACGATTTCATGTAAATGTATGTTTGTTTAACAAAAATGCCAAGTTAGAAGAATAATACACGCTCGGTCGGGTATATACTCACAGGATATCCTCCTCAATGGAAGCGGTTTTATTGGGCGGCAGGTTGCTTTGCATAAATGCACACTCCTCAGCTGTCAAGGTGTAACCGTCCGCGAGGTAACCGCCGTCTGGGTTCACCACACCATCTAGCACAACAGAGATTGTTCTTTAGTAAGTCAGTAGAAAATTTTGCATCAATTTATGCATTAGCAGATACAGCTGTATACTCAAACGCTATTATTGGAGTTAAAAATTATACATTTATCATAACCCGTTGATTATTTGCCACACATTACTACCATTACCACCATGCTCCATGAGTCTTTTGGGCTTAAGCCTATAAATACATACTATATCTCCTTCTCGGGTCGGTAACCGCTGGTGGATTAGAGTGGGGTATGGCTGGATGCGCGACGGGTGCAAGCTGCTCAGAGTTAGCTAGGCCCCAGCGAGCGTTGCGCAGCGCGATGACTGCGCGCACGCAGCCGAGATGCGACCGACGTTTGAGCCGCTCGAAAGCTGCGTGCATGCCCGTCTGACAGTCGGCGTCTAGCGCTATGCCTGACAACTGAAAATATAAATAATTATATATATCAGAAACAAATATTTAATAAATGGTCTGCTTAAAATTAATTAAGGTCAGTTTATAATATACGTAACATAGTCGTGATTTTTTAATTTTGTAAATGATCATTCCAAATACATATAATATTTTTATGAACTTAACAAGAGAACCAGATTATTTATTTAAAAAAACTATCAAACAAACAACGTTTCAGACACAAAAGATGATAATAAGCTTATGAAAGCATAAATTAAAAATAATTTGGTTTGGTACAGTGGTATTTCAAATCAATAAATAGTAACAATTTATCGAACTTGGCACTTCACTTATGCATTATTCATAAGAACGCAACAATCAAAGGTCAATAAACTTATATTGGCACAAGTGTTTTAATTCAATCACTGATATGGTGATAGTATAATATGTGCCTACGACACATTTGAATATTAGGCTTTACAGCCTAGATAGCAATTTAATAATCTTGTTTTTTACTCCTCACAAAAATATATGGTTTTACAATTAACACAGTAAGATAACTATAATACCTTTAGAATTATCAAGTGTTGTTTATTTTTATAATTTGAAAAATCTGCTAATCCTTAGTTACCTTTAGCAACTGGCAAACAGCTTTTATATTGGTTTCTTTATCAGTATCCAACAGGTGCAGCAACACTTTGCATAGACTCTCCCCAAATGTCTTTATTCTTCCACCCTGTAACATATAAGTTTTGTTATAACATAGCCAGTACTTTGTATATAGGCCATTGAACCTTTTGCATTAACTAAGCTAACTAAAAACATAACGGTACAGAGTAAAAGTTTGACACAGTTGTAATCTTGCATTACTATGTACATATTATAAATAGACAGAAACCAAATCACATGAAGTGTTACACAACATTACTTTAACACAGAAATAAACAAACATATTTAAAAAAGTTTTTGGACAAAACATTCTGTAATAGTTACCTGACTGTCCTCCAGTTGGGTGTAGATCTCAGCAAGGAACATTGCAAACCCGCGCATATTCTCCTCTGATGTCTCCACCCCACTGATTATCTTGTTCTCTTCAGCAGAGCAACGCTCAAGCAAGCAAGCTCGGAAGGTTGACTCTTCGGGTGTCGCAACCGAATCGTACATTGAACATAAACGCGCGCCATTGTATCGGAAATTCGACTCGGCAATGGACTATTAAAAAAGGAAAAACAGAGTGTTAAAATTCTAAGTCATGAATAGTGTGGTTGGATGTCTCATTAAGAAACATGTTAGCTGGCACAAAACATTAAATACTTATCCTGATACTTTAATGGAAAGATAAAATGGCTTCCCAAAATCTTGTTAAGGGCTTTCTTATAAGAAAAAAAAATGATATTTTAATTTAAAATTATGTAATTAATAAAAGGTTTTAAAAATAATGCGGTCGTTGTTTACATGTACCGCAACCAAGTTTTGTTGTATTTAAAAATAATTTAATACATATTTGTATATAATAAATGTCATATTGATATTCCAAATTCAACTAAATAATTATAGTAAATTTGATATATTGCTTATACCTGGTTAACGATAGCTTCCACCAGATGTCTAGTGTATGTAACATCCTGAAGAGTAGACGCAAATAAGTCCACTATGGAGCCACAAAGCATGTCGAACTTGCCAGGCTCAAAGGTTATCTCACACATAACTGTGATTAGGTATTGGATATGCTCCTGTTGAAAAACATGTTAATTATCCAAAAATACTTTGAAAAATATACATAAAATGTGATTCGTTTTATTTGATTAATATTTTTTAAATATATTAATTAATTATAGAAGCCATAAAAACTACTCCAAGGAGATGCCTTGGCATAGTTGTATTTTTTTTTTTCTAGTATTATATTACAGCCTGACAGGACCTAGATTCTAATCCCATGGAAACATGATAATGTGTTGTTCTCGGGTAGGGCACAGAAGTCAGCTATTTACCTATATAAACATACTGATCACAATGATACAAAACCAGAATAGTTTCTACCCTGACAATGTAAACAATTGTATATTTTTTATATCATACAGGAGGACAGATGAGAGCTTAACTTTATGGTAGATGAGATATCCAGCTATATAACATCTAACCAAGATACACTATCGACACATTTTATATATTGGATATTCTGAAACCCATAAGCTGAAATGCAGCTTTTTTATCTGTGGACAGTGGTTCATGACCTGGACCGAATTTCAATATTTCACGATTTCCGGACAAGTCCGGATAGTCCAATATGTGACAGTAAAATTTATAAAATGATTAAAAAAATGTTGGACACATTATTAGCCACAAATTGCTGTCATTGCACCAACTAGCCCATCAAAATTTATAGATTTAGTGCTACAATAAATATGCAAACCCTTAAATCCACATTATCTGTTTCATCAATGAATTGGGCCATTTCATTGAAATTATAAGGGCCTTGATCCTGGGCTTGTCGCAGACGATCCTGCACTGAGAATCGTGGCAATCTGTACTGATTAGTATCCTGTGTATATGTTACCGGTGGTTGGGGCACATAGTTGCGAGGATACCATTCCTTTGCATCTGCTGAGAGATTCGACTTAGGCGCTTCAACTGCAAGAAACGTACAAAAAAATATTATTCGGTAACCTCAAATAAGATACGAATTGGAAATCAATGTGAAAATAAATGACTAAATGTTAGCAATAAATACATAGCCACTTTCTGTCAAGCCGTGTCGACGTCATCGATAATCTTCAGACACTTTCACCTCGTGATTCCACCAAGTTAGGACAGTCGTTGTTGTAATCAATAAATAAAATTGTACATATACAAATAAGTGGATTCATTAAAATGAAATAACTCACCTTTTGTTTCATCGGATAAAGTTTTAGGACGGCGCAATTCCTTCGGAGGATTGTCCGGTTGCTGCCAACCGCGGCCCTTTCCTCTGTCCGCGTTATTCATTGCAGGCAATAAGCACTACTACGTTTTAACTTTATCGTAATGGACAAATATCTAAGTAATTCCATAAAACGAAACACGATTACGCTCCGAATAGAATTTGTACGACACGTAAACAAAGGCAAACACTTCACGTTCAGAGTTCCTCCACCATGTTATTTGTGTGAATGAAACAAAAAATAAAATATATTGGGACATTGACACAATGAGTGAGAGAGACTTTGCCGTTTCTATATACGCTACTCAATTTTTATTATTTATATTTTTAATACAAAATCTTTCGTGGTTATTAATAACGCTTTTAGATTAAAGCTGGGTTTTTTGATAAGTAAACATTGGTATTTTTTTTAACCTAAAAATTATAGTACAGCGTTTTTTTTATTAAATGTATTAAAATCGGTGATAACTGTTTGTGTATACAGGAACATAATTTTAAAACTAATAATAATTTATATTATTATGCCAAAATTTTAAATAAGCTTATTAGGTATATAGCTTTTTCACTTTGCAACATGTTTTGCAATTATAGAATTTTTTTAATGATTAATTTACCATTTTGTTGATTATAAGGATATAAAAAATATAATTAGAAATATGGTGGATAAATTTATTTTTACTACTAACACTAATATACTTAAGCTGAAACTATTTATAATAAAAAATTCAACACTGCCTATTCTATTAACAAGAACACATAAGAAAATCTATGTACAAAAGTACCTCTTTGTAAAGCTAAATAATATTTTTTTTACTGTTATCACATAGTGCAAGAGGTAATCAAAACAAAACGCAGCTAAAATTTTAATTTTTAAAAATCCTAGTTCTACATTATTCAAATTTTCATATTATATGCTAAATGATTCTCCACAGCCGCAGGTTCCTTTAATATTTGGATTATTAAATACAAACTCCGATGACAATTTATCTTCAACAAAGTCCATTTCAGTACCTAAAATTTATTATTATTGTTAATCATTCACTAATAAATGTACTGTTAAGTAAATTGACGAAATGTGCACACACCTAACAGAGTTAATTGAGCTTTTTTGTCAATTATTATAGTTACGCCGTCTTGTTTTACTTCTTCGTCTAGCTTACCCTTTTCTTTTGCATAATCTAATGTGTATGATAAGCCATTGCAGCCTCTTTGCCTTACTCCAACCTTTAATCCAATGGAACCCTTTGCATCTTCCTTAGCCATAATTTCCTTTACTTTTGCCACAGCTGATTGTGTTAATATAAGTGCTGCTCTTGATGGTAGAACTCGTTTCTTAACAGCTCTGACGGTGGCACTTGCTATAGTTTTTGTTGCCATCTGAATGTGAAAATTAAAGCTTATTAACTTATTGTAGCAGTTCATAGAAATCCTATTTATATGGATAATCTGTACAGAAAAAACTTGCATTAAATTGACAAACGTTTTGATAAAATCACACCTTGTTTCTTGAGCGATTTTGTGGAGAAATTCCTCTTATTAATTTTCTTGCAAAACAAAAATTAGGAAATACATTTTTTATATCACCTCACAAATATCAGTTGAGTTACGTCCAATTTAATTATTTCATCATAAATATTTTACTTTTTCACATTGACATTTATTTGATAAATGACATTAACAATTTGCTCTATAAATTGTACTAGCTCTGTCAGCGAAGTCGTACGCTTATAGTCTATTTATTCTTACTAGACATTTTTGGTATAGAAACACACGATGTTCACGAAATCGTGATTTTCTCACTAGGTTTACATTGCGAAACACTTTGAGACACCGGAATTTATATTAAACTAAAGAACTACCTAAATTAACTTAGTAAACATTTCATACTAAAATTAATAAAAATCCGAAAAATGAGTTTACGAAAACGCAAGGATTAAATTTTTTTAAGTTTAAAAAATTCTAGTAAAGACGCGACGTAAGCAAAGTCAACGACTATAGAAGCGAAAAATCAAACTCGCATCAAATCGTAACTTTTATTGAAAACAAATATAAAAGTAACAAGGTATTATTATTTGTGTATTGTGACAAAATACAACAATGAATTAAGTACAGAGCTTAATTACTTTCGTCACTATCACTACTTGATTCATCGGAGACGTGGATAATAAATTGAAGGTCGTCGGATACTGGATCCATAGTTTATTGTTTTTTGCCAAGTGTTCGCGTCTATTCGTTTCATGCCTTCTTTTATTAGTTCTTTAATTTCAGCAATTTTGCAACTGTTATTATGTTAAAAATCATATTATTATAAGTTAGTATATACATACACAGACATTGAATATAGGCTAATACCTATATTTAATGTCGAAATAATATACTTACTAGCTGTGCCAACGATCGTTCGTCCGCGAGAATCATTATTTTAGGCATTCCAATTCGTTTTGCAAACCCCCCAATCTTTATAAACTTAAGCTGTTACCCACGACAACGGTCGCCAGTTTATCTTAAAAGAAAGACATATAGTGTCGAGGACTTTTTTTTAGATCATGTAAAGAGGAATTGTTCTTTCATACATATTTTTTGGGTGTCTTGAATCGTTTTCGCAGCGTAAGCGTCTGACAACCACTGAGATGAAACATTTTTCCCGTTTCGTTCACAATTCCCGCTGCTTTTTCGATCCTATTAGTTACAGGGCGATGGTTTATAGCCTTTCTCGATAAATGTTCTAACGAACACAAAAATAATTTTTCAATGCGAACCAGGAGTTCCTTAGATTAGCGCGATCAAACAAACAAATAAACTCTTCAGCTTTATATATTAGTATAGATTACTAATACATGTTGCGTTGTAAACCGTTAAAAGTATTTTTTTAAATGTGTACTACTCGCGAAAAGTACAGACCGTACCTAAGTACCACCATCTAAGAGTTTTTTGCTTAGGCGGTTCTATTTTGAAAATAAAAGTTAAGTTTATTTTTACAATTTATGTAATAAAAATGTAAGATAGGTTAAAACTCTAAAAACTTCATAAAACTGAAACTAGTATGGGTTTGTGTAAGTGGCAAACTGATTGTGTTTTAATACGGACGGTTAATTGCTTGATTACTAACTCTGTAAACAAAAATATGAAAATATACGCTATATAATAAATAAACGCTGTATCTTTGATGGGCTCGGCAATAAATATTGTCCTTGCTATTCTTCGTATTTTTCAAAGACAAAGGAGTTCGATTAGGCATCACTATATATCCTACTGTATGAGCATCACTAGAAGCTCGAGTAGTGAAACAAAATGACACGTCAGTTTAACTCGATTTGACGTTTAATATTCATGTCAGCTAAACTTGTGTTTCACCAATTTTAAAGTGTAATAAAATATGAAAAACGTAAATTGTTTATAGTGTAAAATTTATTAATAATGGGAGGACAAAAGTTTGAATACGATGAAAGTGGCTCTACATTTTTTTATTTTGTTTTATCATTTCTCGCGTTAATTTTGGTCCCGGCGACATTTTATTACTGGCCAAGAAAGCGAAAAGAAGGTAAAGTCGAGTCGATTACATACAAAGCTATTTTTTTTTGCCCAAAGTAAATTAGCTATGCAAGGTTAAGTTCAGTGACAAAAACCACATTTAAAGCGTTTGAAGGAGGCCACTAATAATTTTATTTTACTTCCAAGCCTCCACACTCTCCTCTCTGTATAGATGATTATGAAAACCTACCTTCAAGCGTAATATATTTTTACAGACCCAATAAAACTAGCAGAACAATGTCAGTGTCCAAGCTGTCGAAAGAAAAGGATTATCATTGAACAATCACAACCCTATAGGAACTTCAAAAACTTTCTTATTATATTGGCTATTGTATCAGGATGGGTGCTTCTGGGATTTTTAACTATAAAAGTTTCCCAATTCGATTATGAAATGTCTAACTTTGACCCATATGATATATTGGGCTTGCCCCCCGGTGCTACTCAAGCGGAAATTAAAAAGTCTTATAGGAAACAGTCCCTCATACTTCATCCTGATAAGGAGACAGGAGATGAAAAGGCATTTATGAGACTAACAAAAGCCTATCAGGTAAGTTTCATATTTGTATCATCAATCAATTAGTTACACTGATATTGATATGTTACAATATAACTGTGTATTCATAATGAAATGATTATTGTTACTTTTACAACAACAAATATTATACATCAAATCTAATTGTTGTTTTTTTGTACAAAATAGGTAGTTTTAACATAAAAATGTTATCCTTACAACAGGAATTTTAATAACCTAGTACCATTTTTCTATCTAAGGCACTAACAGATGATGAAGCAAGAAGGAATTGGGAGAAATACGGTAACCCAGATGGCCCTGGCGCCATGAGTTTTGGTATTGCTCTACCTAGCTGGATAGTTGAAAAAGAGAATAGTGTGTGGGTTCTAGGCCTCTACGCTCTTGTCTTTATGGTTGCTCTTCCAACTGCAGTGAGTATTTATTTATTACCTTATTAAAAATTATAACAGCCAATTTCTGCCTTACAAAGTTATAAGGACAGACACACTTCTGTGCCATGAGTTATCGAAGTTTGCCTCTTTAATCTGCTGTTTTATTAATATTTATTTGTAAAAATGTGCCTTTTACTTATTTCAGGTTGGTACCTGGTGGTACCGTTCTATCAAGTACTCTGGGGAGCAGGTATTACTGGACACAACTCAGATGTATTTCTTTTTCTGTCACAAAACACCATCAATGCCTTTGAAAAGAGCTCTTATGATCCTAGCGGCGTCCTGTGAGTTTGACAAAAGGCACAATTCGGAAATCATTGAAAGAATAACAGATAATGAAGAAGTGCCTAGTGTAAGTTTTTTTTTTAATAATTAACCTATTTATGGTGATTTTAATAAAAGCTACATCTATATATCATATTTATTTGCCTTTGAGTATATCTAGGTATGTTTTAAGTTATATACAAATTATAACTGTTTTGTTATAAAATGAAGAAATATAATTTAAGTAAAACACTCAACACTTATATATTTTCATATTTTTTGGTTCTTTTGTGGCTGCCGTAAGCACACAGCTATTAACTTTATCATACATTTAAATAAAACACTTTAACGGTTTAAAACGCGATATATTAGTTGAACACTGCTGCTGCAAAGCATCCTAAACGTCGGGCCGAAGTCAAAAAGCATTTTCAAATAAATTTAACTAATATATCGCGTTTTAAACCGTTAAAGTGTTTTATTTAAATGTGTACTACTCGCGTAAACTATAGACAGTATTTAACTTTAATATATTGAAAAAAGTGTCTTATTCATACTGTGTAATAGTGACCAAAACTACAAACATTACAAAGAATTAATACAAAATGATTGCTAGTTTTTATGTAATGAGTAATTTATAAAGTCTGTTCCTGTAGTACTTTCCTTCAAGGAAAAATTCATTAATACATATTATTTATATATGTATTTAATTATTTATATAGAAATTGTGTATAAAATCATATGAACATTACATTGATTCTATGTAAAGCTCATTTTATTATTAAGACAATGGTTAAGTAACCATGCTTTGTTAAGCATCAGGAGTTAAGTTTGCAATACTTATAGTCCAATTTGTAACCTGTAGATTTATTTTTGCTATACGTAGTTGTATTTATTTTCAGTTGCTCCGAGATCTACCGAATCTTGGTGAAAAGAACAAGGAACAGCCACTTTGTAGACCATACAGTATTAAAGCAAGGGCACTACTTCACGCACACTTGTCGCGTATGAAACTGCCTGAAGACACCCTAGAAGCTGACCGGCGGTACATCGTCTCTCGATGCCCGGATCTAATTGTTGAAATGGTTAACTGTGTTAATCAACTGATCGCGTTAGCTTACGCTAGAAGAAGTGAGTTTAATGTAAATCAGTCATGTAAAGTGTTTCAGTATGGGATCTGGTCTTTTCTAAATTGTGTTTGTGGGTCCTCTGTGTAACCTGTATAAACCATTGCTTTTTAATTCACGACTACGATTATACTACTAGTCCCACTATGCAGTTATTTCCGTAAGCAGGTTTTATAATCTGCTACATGTAATGCTTTTAACATAGTTATGTCATATACCCCTATTAGTTTAAATAACTATGTATATTTTTGTTCCAGTACCTCGTCTGCCCACAATTGAAACTATCGAGAATTGTATGAAATTGTCACCAATGATAGTCCAGGGTCTTTGGGAGTACAAATCGCCTCTATTACAACTGCCATATATAACTGAAGATCATTTAAAATACTTTACTAACCGTAAAAAGCACATCAAGTCGTTATTACAACTAGCACAATTACCAGGGGAAGAGCGGAGGCAGGTATTGAGGTTCTTGAATGATGATCAATATGAAGATATGATGAAAGTGTTAGGAAATATGCCCTATATTCACTTCCAAGTGAATACGGAAGGTAAAATTTATTCAGATTACTATATATTTGACATTTGACTGTAACTTTACTTTTGGTAAAAAGAAATATTTGTATTGCTGCAATTTAAAATGAAATAAACTGTAGTATATTTGTTAAGAGTATCCTTATCATACATATAATTGGAATTTCAAAAACGAATTGATTATCAATTAATTAAATGTTAAATGGTGTCAGTTTGTTGTTCATTAAAAATATATCAATTTTAATGAATAGTCAATTTATTGTTAAAGTATGTAAAAAAACTTCTTTGTTCCGGTAAAGTTTGATAAAGGCTTATTGTGAGTTGATGGTCAAAAAGCACTAATATGAACGTTTTTACAGTAATTGATGATGAAAACTCCACTGTTGTAACTGCTGGTGCAATAGTCACAGTTACTGTGCTTCTACAGCGAACTAATATGAAGGAGCTATTTGGTGATACTACTATCAAAGAGAAAAACAAGATGAAGTAAGTGAAAATATTTATTTTACAAGTCATAGTTTTTTAAAGCATAATTGATTAAGGCTAAGATAAATATATACTAATGTATAAAGCTGAAGAGTTTGGAATCTCAGGAGCTACAGGTTGGAATTGAAAAAATATTTTTGTGTTGCTTAGAGCAATTATCGGCTATAAAACATCGCACTGTGACTAATACAAGCAAAGATAGAGCGGAAAATGTGAAAAAATTATTCATCATTATGGGTTTTTAAGGAGTACACTGGTTTAAGATATCCAAATATATGTATAAAATAATGATTCCTCATTAAATGATCTTAAAACAAGTCCGTGACGCTATATGTCTATCTTTTAAGATTAACTCGCCAAAACAACGGCAAGGGACGCGACCGAATCGTGGTAGCTTAAGTTTTTATTGATACAAAATAACTATTCTCGCGGACGAAGTCGCTGACACAGCTAGTATAATATTCTTGTAGTAGGTATCTCCTATCTCACGATGATATATTTCTTTATCTGTTATGTATAAAAATTAATACTAATATCAATTGAGAACAATTTTACCCAAGTGTTATCATCATTTATATGTATGTATGTTCTAGGGATGATGTAGAGGGCGCAGGAGATAATGGAGAGAACGATAAAACGGATAAGAATGATAAGACAGAGAAAAATGATAAAAAAGATGTTTACAAGAGGCCTGTGTGGATGAAACAAAACAAGAAACCCATAAAGAAAGGCAAGAAGCCTGTTGCTAAGCAACAAGCGAAACCGACTGTTGCCCCCTCCGCTACGCCCCCTCCAGCAGATAAAGAGAAGAAACCAAAAGAACCAAAGAAGAAAGAGGATGGTATGTTTCTTTATTCTAAACAAGAAGAAATTGTATTATACATACTTCAAAGTATTCTTCTTGTTTGTCTGTTTATCTTCGTTAACTGTTGAAACCCCTAATTGAATTTTGACTACCTTTTTCTGTATTGTCTTACTTATTATTATTTATATTAAAAAGTCTTAAGGCAGTATGATTTTAGATATTATTTATATGTTACCTAATAACATTGCAAAGCGTGACAAAGTACTAAATAATTCTTTACATCAGAATTAATGTTTGAACACTTTAATATTCTTCATATGTTATTGCACATGATCTCATTATATAAATTAAAAACGATAATAGACTGAAAAAAATTACGACACGTGCAGGGCTTGCACCTCAACGTTTACCATTATGGATTAAGGTAAGAGGTGCAAGTATTACTAGATTTAAAAAACTAAAAATGACGCATAGGACATGGTAGCACAATTGGTTAGAGCAACTGCGCGGAACGCTGTGAATGCCGGTTCAAGTCCGGCCGGTTTTAAACTAATTATTAAAAAAAAAGTGTGATTTAAACTTTTTTCAGAAAATTATAGATTTTTTTGCCTCTATTGTCGACTATGAAAGATTTAAAATGTTTTTCATACAGGTGAGGAATCAGACGGAGGCAGTTCAGATGAATCGGGCTCTCAGAGCGACGCGTCGGACAACGAGTCGCGCGACAAGTCGTCAGGTGGTGAGGACGACGACGACGACCAATGGGAGAAGTTCCAGAAGCGCTTGCAGAAGCGGGAACGTCTCGAGGGACGCTCTAAGAGCTCGCATCCCGTGCACTGCCCTTACTTTCCATTGGTGAGCGTTTGTACTTTTTAATATTCATTTATGTATTTGGTTAAAAAATACAGGAAACAAATAGAAATATATACGATAACATATTATAAGGAATTAAAGGCAGAATAGAGTACAGATATTTCCTTTCACAGACAATATAGAGTGTTAAGAATTACTTCACTACAGATTTATGATTACAATTCAAGATATGAATATTAATTTTACATAAATTAACATAAAAAAAAAAACAAACTTTAAAATATTTTTTTAAATTTAATAATAAAATCCGTGTTTTCATAAACTTGTCATCTATTTGTATTTTGCGACATTACACACTAACAATAGTTTTGTTAAAATGAGTATAAAGCATGCGCATTATAGTGACTTTGTTATGTCCTGTATATACATATTTTTTTTGTGTAGGAGAAGCAAGAGTTTTGGTGGTGTTATATCTGCGATCGCAAATCGCACACGCTGCTGACCGCGCCCGCGCACGTCACCGCACTCGTCGACTCGCATGAGCTGCAGTTGCGATTCACCGCGCCCCGCTGGCCCGGCCTCTACACACTCGCCTGTTGCCTGCGATCTGGTAATACTGTTAATCTATGTACTGTGACTAGTGGTGTATTGTTAGTTGCTTATAGCGCATTTTTTCCTCAGTTAATCCTCAGTCAATCCAACTTGAGATGGATTTTATGTTTTAATTGCATGATTTTTTGTAATTTCATTTAACGAAATCTTATTTTTGTGGTTACAATTAAAAATTATTTCTTTGTTTGTTAAAGTGGGCTGAAAAGCGTTTCTGACAATAAAAAGTGAACAATAGATTCAATTACCCACATCTCTAAGGTTAAATAATGAAGCAGATGCCTTCAGTGAAAATTTTCCAGTCTCATATACATGTATTATCTTTTTGTGCAGATTCCTACATCGGTATGGATCAGCAGCAGGACATGAAGTTAGATGTGAAGGAGGCTGCAGCAGTTCCAGCTGAACACCCACAATGGGATCTCAGTGACTCTGACTCTGATCACAATGAGCAGGTATTTTTATACTTGTTTTTATAATACGCACAAAAAATAAGATTTAAAACGTGAAACGTCTTAAACTGTTAACAGCTTTTTTAATAATGTCTGTAGATTGCGCGAGTAGTACACAATTAAATAAAACACTTTAAGGGTTCAAACGCGATATATATTAGTTAAACTTATTTGACGATTATTTTAACTACGGCATGGCGTTTCGGATGCTTTACAGCAGCCGTGGTCACGTGGTTTTATTTTAATTAACAGTGCATTATTTACAGTACATCACTCGCGTTTACCACTTAGAGGCTTAAAAATTAAGATAAAAAAGTCAATTTAATAATTATATGTTAAGAAATCGAAAGTTAATTACGACAGTAAAAGTTGGATAAATTTAAGGAAGTTTGCGTAATAGCGTAATAAAAATCGCCATTTCCTTAATGGATTCAAATGCTTAAAACTTGTTAAGCCTAATTATACTTTTAATATGTCTTACAACTTTGCCTGATATATCATAATATGTTTGACAATTCGCATATATAGTTATGTCACAAATGGTATCGTGCCATTTTAATTTTAGAATAATATAATTATTATTCACAAAACAACAAATAATATAATGTTTGTTAAATTGCCCTATGGACATACAAAGATAAATTACGCACCCACAAACACAAGGTATTTTGCAAACGAATAACTAGACAGACTAGACTAATTTTTTTTTTGAATTTTTGACTAAAAATTATCAAATCAAATTAAACTAACGTTTAATAAAAGTGTTATTGTTAAGTTTTTCTTTGTTCATTTATACGTTATCATTTAAATTTTTATTTTCACAAAGTAATACAAATGGTTAAATGTGTTGCCTAGCTTTGCAAAGGGTCATGTGACCAATTCGATTCCTAGTGAAACGATAGACTGTTTCGGTCGGGTAGGGACGGAAGTGTGATCAATTACTTGCCTGTAAAAGAGCCGACCAGTAAAACGGACACAGAATTGTGTTCGCCCCATGTTCTAAGGGAGGAAACGGGATTGTACTTTTTTTCAATAATTCGAATATACTCAGAACGAGTTCATCTAAGTACTATCTGTAGTCTACGCGTGTAGTACACATTTAAATAACCCATTTTAACTGTTTAAAACGCGAAATGTATTACCTATACTTGTTTACAAATTATGTTTAACTACGATCCAACGTTTCGGATGTGCTATGTTATTTATTTAAATGACTTCTAGTCTATCTTTCGTCGCACTCATCATTCTATATTAAACAAGGTATAAGCGAGGACATATCGACGTTGTAAATGCGAGTCTGAAAAAGAAGCCCTGTTGAAGTGATTAAATGACCCTTAATCCGAGTTCAATGAATTTTTGCTGAAATAATCCGCTCGGCGCATGAGTAACAACATTTAAGAGCACGGGATCGCAAGCCAAGATTTTTTAAATGCGTTTAAAAAGTGGGTAACCGATTTTAATAATTAGCTTCATAAAATATGTACCGTGTAAGAATGTTTATTGACTGTTTTTTTTAATTAACGTTGTTTTCTTTCCCGCAAATGAAAACAACATCAAAAGTGAAAAAAAAAGTGCAAAATTTTCTCTATTTAATCTAATATTATTGTTGACGTGAAAATATTCGAATTGGAAATATTTAAAAAGGGCAAAATAAATACTGTCTATAGTTTACGCGAGTAGTACACATTTAAATAAAACACTTTAACGGTTTAAAACGCGATATATTAGTCTCCCCGTGACCACGGCTGCTGCAAAGCATCCGAAACGTCGGGCCGAAGTTAAAAATCATTTTCAAATAAGTTTAACTAATATATCGCGTTTTAAACCGTTAAAGTGTTTTATTTAAAAGGGCAAAATATATTAGTAGAACCTATTTTTAACCACGACTCGGTACGCCCATTTACTGTGGGGGTAAATTTTTACGAAGCCTTCAACACGAGCACGAATAAACTTGTTTTATACCGTTCAAAGTTTTACTCGCGTAAGCATCAGACATAGTGTGCGGTCCTTTTGTATTATTGTATAGTTACAAAAACAGGTTATGACTGAAAATATTTATTAAATACTACTTCTGTAAGCTAAAATATATAATAATGAGATGCGGCGTTGTTAGCATGCTAACACAATTAACATATAACCGCGCTTTGTAGTTGAGTTTTTAAAAATACAATACGTTAAATGTCCAAGTGTCAATGTCCTCAGGCTTTCGCTAACGGTAGCCGAGAAAAAATTATTTAAGGATGCTGTGAAGGGACAATGCTGGTTTAAATTCAGTTGCATTAGGCTCTTCTCAGACAACGCTACAATATAATAGCTTTTAGTATTATGAAAGAAAAACAGATAAGCATGGCTCACTTGATGGTAGGTAAAATAAAAATAACCCAGCCAAATAACACCTATACAAGAAGAAGATATTTCGTCTGTAAACATTCGGAAATTCACAGCCTGAATATGAAACGCGATAAACTTCTCGGCTTCATTTGGCGACGGTGGTTCGTGACCCGGACGGATTTCGATGTTCCTTCCACCGGTTTAATATCCAGATTTCCAGACGAAGTCGAACATATTAGAGAATAATTATAATTTTATTAAAGATGTTAATTATTAGTATACATTGCTAACCTACCAGCGCATCATTTTATTACCTAAGGGTATACAATTCAAAGACACAAATCCAATCTGTCATTTTAAGTAAAAAATCAGATTAGATTTGTATCGTTGTAGTATGTATACAAAATTTTCTACCTCGTTTTACCTCCATGGGGGTTTAAAAAAATCTTTCAAGTATAATTCATAAGTTCAGTCGGTTATTTGAAACATTTGTACGATTCTTAACAGCGTTGTCTTAAACGAGCTTTAATCAAATATTTGCCTGGTTAATGCACGTATTCTGTTCGCAGGGTGGCAACGAGAGCGAGTTCACAACAGACGACGAGGTCGAAGAGGAATAAATTATATATTAGGTTATTTTTATAGAGTTTTTAATGGGGTGCAAGTATATATTGTTGTATGGTTTGAGAGCGAATGAATATAGTATCTTTTATATTCAAATCTTTTTTATTTTTCCTTACAAAGTAACATCGAACAACTCAAAGGTACAGGTGTTTAATACTTTTAAAAGTGTGGTCGTAATTCCGATGTTTAGAGCGGTGCTAATGGAAGCAATAGGGTGGCTATCGACGAGTCCGTTTACGTAAGTTACTAACGTAAAATAATAACATGCATTCTTTACAAGATGCTATGTGAAAATTTACAATTTTATTAAACGAGACATTTAAAGGCATGAAACGCGAATATCTGTAGTGGCAAGTATTTCTTTACTTATTTTTAATTACCCCTAGACCATATCTGAAATGGTGGGTCATAGTTATTTTTTTATGATAGACAGACAAGAATAGGGCTTACTCGATTGTAGGTGAAATCTGGATTTAACATCTAAACATGATGCGCTGTCGACCTTTTAGTCCAAATATTCGGAAATCTACAGATTGATACCGAAACGCCATTAAAGTTCCGGATTCCGGATTTCCAGACGAAGTCCAACGTATTTTAGAAAAATTATAAATTTATTACAAACATGTAAGATCCGGTGGGGATCTAACCCACGACCCATTGGTTATTATTAGCCATTAATAGACCACCGAGCCTGCCAAAAATATACTCGAAAAAAAAAAATGACAATCGATAATAGTTTGGTTTTTAACTTGGTCCGTTAAATATGTTGTTAAAACCACTGGCTTTTAGTTGAGTATAAACATTTTATGTACACCGTGGTAGTGGCGCGCCAGAAGTCACACAAAGGGATGGATGGCTGAGGGTATCGTCCTCGGCGAGAAGCGAGAAATACTGAATGCTGAAACTAGTGTAGCAGGACGCAGACGGCAGAGGATGCTTGCTGCGGCCAGAGGGCAGGCTTCAAATGACCGTCATCGTATTAACAATACAGCGCTGTTGGCGCTATTTTTTACTATATTCTCAGATGTTTTAAATAAATAATTTAAATAAAAAAGTAAACAAACAGTCCTCTACATTTGTTTACTTTTTATTAAAAGCAATATGACCTATGTTTATAAAGCGGATTCCTAAAATGTTTTTAATGTCTTAAGACAGCTAAATTTCGTTGAATTTAAAACCAAAATTATACATAAATTAAAAATCGATTGTACATCGAAACATTTTTACAACACCGTAGCTCAATTGATTAGCACGGAGCGCTGTGTGTTCCGGTTCAAATCCTGCCCGTGTCGTAAAGTTCAATATAATATCGATTTTTCAATTATATAGTGTCAACATGTGAAAATATTGTTGTTATTAAAAAATTTAATTACACCTATAGTGGCTAGAACTAATTTCTGAGCACCTACTCTAGTCATCTAACATTTGTTAGTATTGCTTCAGCGGCAAAAGCGCTGAGCGGGTCACACGTGATCTGGCAACGGTCGCAGCCAGGCGCTTCGCGGACCGCACTCGCGCGCCGAATCTCGCAACAGACCCACGATCGAACGAGCGACACCCAACTCCGGTGTCGTATTACGCGCTAAATATATCTCGCGAGCGCGGTCGCCTATTTTGAAAACGGTCCCGCGCCGTGTTTTGAACAAGTGACAGTGACGAGTGAAGAATTCGCTGATCGAGGAATCTGCCGACGTAAGTATCGAGATACGTCGATGATGGCTCCCGCTTATTATATTACCGCATCGCGGTTTTAAATAAACAGCTGTTTCTCGGAATCACGGGCGTTGGTAACGTGCTAAATCGAGACTGCCGAAATTTTTTGTCGAGTATTTTAAAATACATTTGATCCTTTACTCTCACAAGTTATAATATATTCAAGTAGATATTAAACCATTATTCACTACTAATAAACAATCCATTTTTCTGTTTATCGTTCCACAATGGAATTTGTGTCTCGCGTTTTATTCTAATTCTGGTAGTCTGGTCTTGAAACCTGGATTGCATAAGAGCTCGGTCAGAGGTGGGCAGTGAGTCAGTTGTGGTTTACTGATTTGCGATAAAGTTTTAGCTGGCACCTACAATGCTCAGCTAATTGCCAATTGCGAAACAGGAGCGGGCTGGGGAGTTAATTAGGAAAATTACCGCGAGATAACTGCTTCTATTAAAACAATATTACACGTTAATGTCATGATTATTTACTAATAGATAATAGATTACGTCTAGTTGCACCGTTTAGTAATTAATATTGATTATGCAGTCGAGTGCAAGTAACACGCGTAGAAGGTAATAACTAATCGTTTAGCTATGTTCATATTGATATAAATATATAACAAGTACCTCCTTAGCTAGATTTAGGCTTATAGATTGGAAATAGGATCTTCATTGCCAAATTTAATAATAAAACAATATGCAATAGAATTAAAGTTATTACCATCGATCAATAAGTACTATTAATTCAGTTAAGAATATAGATAAGTCAATATTCGTTTCTTTATGCGCAATAGGCAACTCTTAGAAATTTTACAGCAGTTATTTAATTTAACATATAATAATGTTACGTCAATATATATTCTTGTTTTGTGTTATATGATTCTATTTATGAAATCGAATTATTTTCTATTAGTGACACAGTGCCTGATAATCATTCCAGTAAGAAAAAATATCTATGTTTACTTTCAGATTTTTTGCATTCTACCGTAATCAATAAATTATCTCGCAAATAAACATCTGTGGCATAGAATGAAAACAGTTTATCTGGCATAAAATTTTGCATTGAGAACATGTCACTGCATTGCAATTTATCTAGGTTTATTGTCTATGCTGTGCGGGCAGTTTTCACGGTTTGAATACTTTGTAGCGATTGGTGATATCCCGGCGTCGGGCATGGTTGCGCGATGAATCGAACCACGGACTGATAGCGGGCCGGTTATACGAGTCCCGAGAGTGCAACGGCCCAAACTAAAGGGAATTTTAAAACGTCTCGCGAGCCCCTCGATCTTAACATTACCTATATAATGTATTTCTCAGTACGGAGGCGTATAAAGTTTCTTAGGGCTGATTGTATGTTCCAGCATCCTGTTGGAGTAAACAAAGAGCTTGATTATCGCGTTTGCACGTCTATCAGTTTTAGGTAGCGTTGATTACAAGTGCAATAACAATAAGTGCCTCATGGCGGATCGCTCTTTGTTTAAACAAAGGATAATACGGAAATGGGAAATGCAAATTGATGAGACTTCAAGCTAATAAACATATCGAAGCCACAGACCCGGTTCCTTAGAAAATACTTTTCATATCTATATGGTAATTACCTCAGAGAATCGTTGCGCAGTTATTTTAATGTGCCATCGCATTATGCATTTTCTATGGAACATTCTTATCTGAGCGTTAACTTTAGAATATGCTAATAAGATTGTAAACTCTCTTTACTTTGTTTATGTGCAACGTTCAGATCGATGAGGGATTATGTACACATAATAATTAATATCTTTTATACAACATTTTTAAATGTCGTCTTAGTCTAGATAGTTTTTCAACAATTCTAACATAAGAGCGATAACTGCTCAGTTATCGAAAATTTGCACGATGGAGGACGATACACAAGCATGGGTTTCATATGATGGAAGGCAAAATACCTCAGTCATGATTTTGGATTATGTTTTGTTTCGTTTAACTTGATTATATAAGATATAGTATTGTCGATTAGTATCAACTTAGCAAATGACGAAGACTTCGTATGTGTAGATCTTCGAAAACGGGTTTATTTCCAATCAAAGTCTTTATATAAAAACATAATGTTCATACTCCTTATATTTTTATTTCGATTTGTATACAAATATAATTTGTATTAAATAAGTGACGTTACGTCATATTTGATGCAAGTCTCATATCAAGTAAAGTGAAATAAAAAATTGATGAAACAAGCAAATGTTGACCTCTAGAGATGAAATCACCAATCGTCATGCCTACATCAATGTGTCTGATCAATGATCATTATAAAAGCCGTTAACCCAGATTTTAATGTATTCTAATATCTTATGCATATAGGGAAATTAAAGACGATTAAGATTTTAATTGACATTCTATAGTTTAAAGCTTTTGTTTAAATAAAATCAACGTCCGGAGATAACATGACAATTTCTGTATATAATTATATAGTTTAAATCATAGGTGGGTTTATATTCTTGTAACTGATATAAGCTAAAGTACCTAACATTATCTTTTTATAGAATATAAAATTGACAACGGATCGTGGGTCCGATCTCCGTCGGGTCCAAAATTGTAATAAATGTATCATTTTTCTGAAACAAGTTGGGCTTCGTCTGGAAATCTGAATATTAAATAGGTGGTAAAAATGTTGAAATTCTGTCCGAGTCACAAACCACAGATGAAAAAAAGCCGTCAAGGGTCATTGCGTTTTGGTTTGAGCATTTCTGAATATACAAAACCAAAATAGGTCGACTATGCGTTTTGTTTAGATGTTATAAAAAAATAGGAATCTCTAACTACGCGACTTTGATTAAATTCTGTTTACATTAAAATAGCCGAGATTGTTTATCGGGTATAGAAACGTGATCTCTGAATATGGAAATGTTGGCGCGTGCATTGGATCTAAGACTAATTCTACGAAAACGTAATCTTCAATTATTATTGAAGACAACTAACCATATATATAATATAATATATAACCAATTGATATTGATTTACTTAAACGACCTACTCTGTCCTACCTGTATGACCTACTCGGTGGCTCAATGACTTTGGATCGCGCGAAGATGTGAATCCATAACAATATAAATTCGGTTGAGCGCAAAATTTAGATCATCTACTTGCCCGCATGTGTAGTTTGTTTAATATTATCTATTTTTTGAGGTTATCTAAAGTAAGCTTAAAGTAAAAAAATAAACGATTATTAACATAAGATAAAGTAATTTATACACAATATTAATTATTCTAATAGGCAATGTAATTGAAAATGAAATTTATAATTATTAATAATTGAAAACTTTTTAATAATTCATAATCATAGCACATATTATAATAATTTCCTCCTTTGTATATTATCGCTTATGATATGTATAAAAATTATAAGCCTATAATTCAAAAATGCTTCGTTATTGATATTGTCGTTAGCAACCTTCTTTGAAATTTCGAGGGATTATTTCTTGCTCGCTGCTACAACACAAAGGGATCCTTTTTTATTTATTTTTCGTCTTCGTCAGGAGCGGCTTATGACTCAGAGGTCGCTGGTCAGAGTTTAGTTGGATTACTCATAACTGTATCAAAGGTGCGATAAACGTATTCCTTTTGAGGCAGTGTTTAAATAACCATATCAAACATAGCAACGATTCTTAAATAGTCTATGGATGGGTACAATCTTAAAACATGAACGTTGCACCAATTAGTTTGTTCTTAATTTTTAATTTATAGTCTACATCAAACACAGTATATCCGAGACTTAATATAGTCTGTGGATACAATCTTGAAACATGAACGTTGTACTAATTAGTTATTTGTTAATTTTTATAAGTATTTAGTCTTTAAACATTTCATACAAATTAATAGTGGTTATTAGTTTATAACGAGTCTTATTTTTCCTCCAAAAAAAGAAAAATGGCGCACATCTTTATTCAAAAGATTTTATCCATTTGTTGCTTTTTTATATACGTGGACAGCTAACTTAGTTTTATGTATTGTCTTCAAGATAAAAAATCCATAAATACGTAGAATATAAGAACATCATATTTAATTCGAGTATTAAACTTTGCCACGTAGATATTCATTTGGTGAATAAGCCAAGTCGCACCATTCATAAACATGCCAATATGGCACCGGGATCAATCGTTCACATCCGTTTTGCTCATTCTTAGGTCGCCAACGTCTGGAACAATAATATGTATGTAAAATATTGCACACACACCAATGCTTGAACAATGACGGCACTGAACCGGTGACCCACCTCGCCGGATTTGTGTTATTCTTGAGTTCTTATCATTATTTATTTAGTGTTACGATCTAATCTAGAAAAAAATATTTTCAGCTCGTCAAAAGTTGAAGCAAAATTTTATATCACGTGAAACTTATTTTATCCATAAACCAAGATTTGATCTTTGAAACTATTTTTTTTGCATCTAAAAATCGTATTATTTCTGTTACTTAATAAGTTAGTTTAACTTAAGGCAAATCAAGATAAACGTTTAAACTCTGTAATTAAAATTTTTCATTTACCTATTTTAAAAAATTATATCGTTTATGATAAGTTTAGTTTTTTGGTCGTTTGCCAATCATATTACTGTCGCTATGTGGGGCGTGACGCTATTTATCAAGATTTTACATAATATGTTAAAATCTGTATGTTTGTCATTGAACTCCTCCGAAATGGCGTGACCGATAAACATGTTTTATGTATATATACCCATTATATTAAGTATTCGCAAGCATCAGCTGTTTTTCTATGAAATAAAACCAGTTACGTATTTTTATAATGTGTGTCTGTAGATAAAAGTAAGCAGACAAGAAGGCGGATTGATATCAAAAGGCTTTTCCGAATGCTAGCCTCCCACGCTTCTGTTTTGACGCCAGAAAATCTACGCGTACGTTTACGCGGGTAAAGTCACGGCCATTCACTAGTTAACGCGTAATAATTCACGACGCCACAATTAATTTTGTTGAGAAGTTCTGCTATTCGTTGAAGT